CATGATTTTGATCTGATGTCTGTCAGATTTCAGCTGAGTAAGTGGACATGTTACACAGGCCACGGAATTTTTCGAAGCATGGGAGTGTTTTGGTGGTGCACGATATCTGAGTAACGAGTTTGACCGTACATGCTGACAATGGCTTCATCATAGTTTGCGTGCAGTTGGTGGGTGTGCTCGTGTCAAATAGTAGGGAGGTTTCGCTCTACGGAACTACATGTACGTATGAAAATAACGTAGGAACTGCACATAATTTTCATATGTGAAAATCAGCCCTGTTGAGTTTTGCTCTACGTGATTTCTCCGCGACTGCTAAGCATGCCTTGTTGCTTTGGAGACGCGTTGGCTGCATGCGCCCACCGCTTGCACCACAAACCGAAACCACGTTTTCCATTTTGTTTTCCACGTGGTGTGTACCTTGTGTTTCGAGCAGCTGAATGTTGCCATGGATAAATCCGGAAAGTGCGAAAAATATTTCTAAAAGTCCTACTGAGGACCCAATGTAGGAAAGAGCTTTCCTACGGAAATCCAAAGAGATTTACGTATGAAAGTTGCCCTCGCTCCCCGGCGCGTACGACACGGATTTTCGTACATAATTACGTTGAGCAAAACCTCCCGAGTAGTTGGGTATGTTGCCACACGGCCCATCAGGCTCAGCAGCTTGAAGGGGTATTGTTGCACTTGCCACCTTTGTTGGTTTCAGGGTTCATATACTTTCTATTCAAAGTATTCATACCTCTTGACCAATGGACTACTTCTGGCTAGAATAACTGTTGTGTAATCACCAGGACGGATGCCTTGAGGCCATCAATTCTGTATCAAAATACTATACCCCCCCCCCCCCCCTTCTCTCTCTCTCTCTCTCTCTCTCTCTCTCTCTCTCTCTCTCTCTCTCTCTCTCTCTCTCCTGGTGTGGAATTCCCTCCCGTTTCCCATGCAGATGACTATTCATGGATTCAGCTGGTGAATTACATACGGAAGCTGGTGAGTGCCCACTGCTCACCCTTGCAACCTTCTCTCTCTCTCTTTCTCTCTCTCTCTCTCTCTCTCTCTCTCTTTCTCTCTCTCTCTCTCTCTCTCTCTCTCTCTCTCTCTCTCTCTCTCTCTCTCTCTCTCTCTCCCCCTCTTCCTTACTTTTTCCAGATAGAGTAGTTTGCCATTGTTTGAAGTTTTGAGTTGTGTGGCAAAGTCGTTCAGTGAAGCTTGAATTTCACAAACATTCAGGCATAGATTTATATAGTTTGTTAGGAGGTATGGTTGCAGGTAACTCCTTTGGCCCTGTCTAAGTATCTAGTGGTCCTTGTTGTGGTTGTCGTTTACTTTTTGGTATGGTTATTTGGTTGGCAGCATGTTGCAGCCGACGCAGTCCTTCACGCGCTCAAGAGCCGGGAAAGCCCATGGAGTCGGGAAGAGTTCTACAGGCCTGTCCTGGACAATGACCCACTGCTTCTGTGGGGTAAGTAGTAAAATAATGACACCAATTGCTTGTGTATGGTACTGTAGGTGGAAAATTGGAAATGTGGCTTGGTGCATACTTGGTGTGCAACGTTCTTCAGCAGTCCAGCTGGAATATCCTGTACCTTGTCATAGCAAAGTACATGTATTGGAAAACGCTCACAATAGCACGCGTGGCAAAGGGTGATACTGATGTGGAGTTGGTGCAACTACACCAGCAATCTGCAAGTATAGGCAGGTGTCACACAGCGAGTGATAGCACAGCCAGCCAAATTGCACTACTACGCAATGCTTGGTATGGCCGCTATTATTTGTGCTAAGGCGTTAGGTATGATGTGGCATGGATCTGGCAAAGTTCTCCACGTCCTAAGCCAGAGAAAACACCTCTCGCGGTGTGATGTGTCCATGTACCGGTATGTGTTTATGTGCTTGACAGAACCGGATGAAGAGGCAGTTGAAGCAATGCATGCAGCAAGTAAGTTGAGAGTGATTGAACTATGTTGAATAGACATGTACAGGCAAACCTCTTTAGGACGAACACTGATAAGGCAAACTTTCCATTAGTGCAAACTAGGGCCAATCCTATGGTTGGCCAGGCATCGTATCAAGTCAAAATGATTCGTTTACGACGAACTCCTGTGCGGCGAACTTTCGTGAAGACGAACTAATTTCAAGCGTGATTTGAGCAATATCAGCACGTACAGTCAAACCTCTTTAGGACGAACACTGATAAGGCGAACTTTCCATTAGTACGAACTAGGGCCAATCCTATGGTTGGCCAGGCATCATATCAAGTCAAAATGATTCGTTTACGACGAACTCCTGTACGGTGAACTTTCGTGAAGAACTAGTTTCAAGCGCGATTTGAACAAAATCAGCACGTAGTACGAATTTTCGGTCCCCGTGGGTGCACTGGCTGTAGTTTTTTTTCCGATAGTCGATGTCTCTTGTACCTGCATATCGACTTGACAGCATAATTTTTTGTAGTGGTGAAACGAATATACCGAATATTCGAATATTCGTTCGGTTTGGCACGTTCGAGCGAATATTTCTGAAAGCGAATATTCTTTAACCCAGTATACAGAGTTTACCTGGCGACTTCAAACTTTCGTAACTTCGCAAATACTTGACCGAATCACTTCATCGAAAGGTCTATCGGCATTAGCAAACTCTCAGCTGTCGTCTAGAAGCAACTCAGAATGCAATCCAAGGTCCTGGAGTGGAGTGATGGCGCTCGAACGAAAAATCATGTCTCAAGCTGGGTTTTTTTTGAGCCTGTGAAATGCACTTCAGCTGGGGATTATGTGAAAATTGACCTAGAAATGATGGAGAAATATGTGCGTTTGTTTATCATGCCTAATAATAGTGACAATATCAGAACCTGGCGGCATGTATACGCCTTTGATACGTGAAGCGAGGAACCTGGGCATATATCTAGAACCGATGAGTAGTGTACTCGCAAGAGGGCCCGCTGGTTCGAGATATAAATATTCGGCAGTGACATTGACATACAGGGTTGGGACTCTGGAGTCACGCTTGTTCAGCGTTAGGAACGGATATAGGAAAGATATGAGGGCCAGAAAATCCAAATCCTCCTTCAGTTTTCGGACATGACGTCCTTGGTCTGGTCGCCCGACGCCTTCGAACAACGTATCAAAGGCGTATACATGCCGCCAGGTTCTGACCAAACAATCTCAAGAAAATGAGACTTCCCCACAGTTTTGATCTTAGCCTCCATTTTTCACCATACACGCGATCAGAGCGCAAACAGGTTCAGATAAAACCAATTTTATTGGATTGACAAAATATGTGTTTCACAACTTTCAATAAAAGAGTCCGCCTCATGATGACTTGTCTGGGGTAGTCGGCAAGTCTGCCTGCACCTCCGTGTCCTTGGATTTTGACGTCTTGTCCTTCTTCGGCTTATGTGAGTTTTTACGAGTTTTCTTTCTCGGTGGCTCCTCGACTTCGTCAGTGCGATGGCCGGCATGGCGGCCCAATATCCGAAAGGATATGAGGGACAGAAAGTCCAAGTCCTCCTTCAATTTCTTAAGGTGTCGTCCTTGGTCAGGTCGACCGACGCCGTCAAACAGTGCTATCGCCCTTTCAAGACACTGCATGGTTGGCGTTTCTCCCCCTCCCCCCCCCCCCCCCCCCCCGGCCTCCTTCCTGGGTGAGGGAGTTGATCTCCTTGATCATTTCCTGTGCCATTCTGGAGAAGACAAAAACGCCACACCAGAAAAGAACCGAAGATTAGTTCACATTGAGTGACGGATCCTGGTCACAGCACCAAATGTCATGGCCCGACCCCAAGGGTCAGTCAAAAGCCTGCGTTGCGAACAACACCAAATAGGTCCGCCATGAAGTTGATCTCCTTGATCATTTCCTGTGCCATTCTGGAGAAGACAAAAACGCCACACCAGAAAAGAACCGAAGATTAGTTCACATTGAGTGACGGATCCTGGTCACAGCACCAAATGTCATGGCCCGACCCCAAGGGTCAGTCAAAAGCCTGCGTTGCGAACTTGCGAACAACACCAAATAGGACCGCCATGAAGTGTGAGCAAGACCCAGAATCCCAAGTGCACAATATATGCACGCCATCACTCAACAGCCCACCAAGAGTTCCATTTCCAAGGACATACCTTGTAGATACATGTAGGTCAAAGGTAGAATAAGAAAGAGGAGATACAGATAGAAGCAGTGCCGGAGCGAGAGGACGAACGTAACAAAGACAGGGACTTATATTCATAACAACAGCCAATCAGAGCACACATACTGTACTCACTAGTCACATTAGACGGCGGGACAAGGGGACAAGTAACGGAAAAAGCTACTGTTTCATAATAATTGAACGCCTCATAACGGCGGGATACAACATGCAAGAACGGTAGAAGATACTAGTAGACTATTACAGTTGGAGAACAAGGAGCCATAATATTGCAGTTTCATAGCAGTTGTATAATGTTGTAAGTGCGTAAGGCTACGTAGTTATATGATGTAGTGAGTAGAAATGATGTAGTGAGTTACCGTACTGTGGTGCTGGCGTGACTCATCAGTTTGCTGAGCGCTTGTCAGCTGGTGCCGATCCCTCGTCTGCCAGGCTGGTTACGATTGCTGCGCGTCGTCGACCTCTGGTCACGACGCAAGTATTACTCGTACACATGGAGGCATGTGTGGTTGGCGGTCAATCGCCTGCCCGCAGCTTCGGGCAAACACATGACACCGGGTTGTCATCGCAAAAATGCCCCCGGAGGTGGCCGGGCACCGGGCTGCCCAGGGTGACCGCGGCCCACGACTTTAAAATATTTCTCACCTTATCACTATTCTCTTGTTCCCTGATCATTGCTTTGGAACAGTATCACTTTGCTCCCAGATGTTTCAAAATTTGATTCGAATGATTAATAAATTTCGGGCACATGAAACCCCTCCAAAAAATTCCCTTATTGTGATCCGTTGTTGCGTGGAGTGAATGTTGAATGCTAGATTTGGTGCCCCGTTAGAGATTCAACTCTTACAGTAACTCAAACTCATGTTTGTGGCTACTCTCTTGCTTGGGGTTGTGTTGCAGTACCTAGCAGTTTAATTTCTTTCTCTGTGTACAGCCGAAAAGAGCACATCTGCGTCTCCGCTTGAACAGCTTCAGGCCAGGTGAGGCTTTAACAAACACGTGCACACACGTACTCACCAATTTGTCTATGCTGCGTCACCTCTGTGTTTACCATACATCGTATTTCAGGTTCAGCTGTACAAGTCAGATGCCATCCACTGATAAAATACTTCATTTGTGTGAGCCTCTTCGTAAATCAGCACCTACTCCACGGGTTTCTTTCATTATTTGTTACTTTGAGGGAATGAAAAGGGAAAAAGCCTGAAGAAAAAATTAAATCAACATGACGCCACCACCAAGGGAAGTGGGCGAGTTTGATTGCAAATGTGGGACGCAGGGAACATCTCAGCTTCCTCGGACCAACACCATTCTGTAATCCTCAGCCTACCTTGAGTCTCAGTACGGCGGGAAGAGCAGATGGTCCAGGGTAAATATAAAGGGGGAGTGTGTGTGTGGGGGGGGGGGGGGGCTTGCAGCAAAAGCATATTGCAATTTGTCAATGTAGACAACAGCAGCAGCAGCACCTGACATTATGTTGTTCTGTTGTTTTCTGAAGGTTGCGGGCGACCGAGGAGCGTGCTAAGATGGCGGAAGAAGCTTTGCAGCGTGCGGTTACAGATTTGAATTCTATCAGGTGTGTTTGTTGGTCCGCCTTGCAATTCCCCTGGGGCACAAGTGCTACTCACGGCAGGGCACTGTGTATTTATTGCTGTTACCAAGAGTCCATAAACAAGAGTGTGCAGCGCGCGATAGGGTCTTGTCACGACTCGTTTTCAACATTACGTCATTTTCATGTAGCGAATGTCGCGGCCTGCACAGTGCACACGCGCGCAGCTACATGAAAATGACGTAATGTTGAAAACGAGTCGTGACAGACATCTATGTGGCGTTGCACACTCTTGTTTAGGGACTCTTGCTACAGGTGGAATCCTGATAATTCGAACCTCAAAATGCCAGGAAAAAACTTCTAATTATCCGGACATTCTAATTATCCAAACATGAACCCACAACACAATATGTATGTCAAAATGCTCTCATGAAAACGCAGAGTTGCGCTATGGACCTTAGACACAGATTTCACAGATACTGAAATGACCGGCACAGCCTGCTCATGCAAACTGAACTGACCAGTACAGTGTACAGTGAACTTCGAATTACACTTGGCTAACTTCGAATTATCAGCACAAATCCCACACATTTTCTATGTAAGTGGAATCCGTGGGACTTCTAATTAACCGGACATGATCAGTTCGAGGTTCTAATTATCAGAACAAATTATGTGGGAATCGTATTGATAGAAATCGGTCCTGGAAAAACTTCTAATTAAGCGGTATGTTCGAATTAAGCCATATTCGAATTATCAGGATTCCATAATAGCGTGTAGTTATGTGTATTTATTGCTATTACTTCAAAGTACTACAATGTAGTACATGTAATAGTTGTAGCCTGTTATCATGTCCGCCGGATTGGCATTCACAGTTTTGCAGAGACTGACTTCCTAGTTCACTTTCTTTCACACATCATGACCTCGCCAGATGTTCGTTGTTTTTGTGCCCGCGTTGGCTAACATGATCTATGCAGTGTTGATTGGTTCAGGTTGTGTGATTATTTTTTTTGAATGAACAATTCGAACGGGGTAGTGGCGGGTGGCTTTGTTTTTCCCCCGCGCCCGCTAACGGCCATAAGCGTGGGGTTGTGCTTGACTTTGTGGTCATGATGAAGTGTTGCAGGTTGTCACAAGTATGTAGACCCATGCTCTGTCTAATCCCTCCATCTTCCTATTGTGTTGCTGGCCATGTTGTCAGAGAGCAATCAGCAACCTTGCTGCTCGGTGATGAAGCCGCTGCGAGCAGTGTGTCACTGAAGAGGAGTGGGAGCGAAGAGTCGCTTGACGGCGATGAATCCGATCCGTACTTCATGTCATATGCCAATGTGTCCATTCATCGGGAAATGCTTCAGGTCAGTTGTTTAAATGTATAGCCACTGGACCCGTGTGCAACTACCTTGGAGCCAAGAGTCCATAGCCCCAAGCGTGTGCGATTCTGTTCCTGGGTCTGGTGTGGGTTCCACCATAGACAGTATAGCCATAACCATGGGGTCCATACAGCTGAAATGCAGCTGTTGCTTCTCACGCACCAGCCAACACATGAACATAATATGCATGTGCAATGGTGCATACAGTGCAACTGCATTGTGAATATGTGAACCCCAGTTGACCATGTCTGTTTTCTTTGCTGTTTTGATGTTAGGATACTGTTCGCACAAGTTCCTATCGCGACTTCATCTTGGGAAATGAGGCAGTCTTCAAAGATAAGGTATGAAACGGTCTTAATCCTGTTTGTATGCACGCTTTTGCGTGAGCTTTACCAGGGTATGGGACTATGGTATTCGTAGTCCTCTACACCTTCATGTTGCGACAGTGTGTTTGTCTTTTGTCTTTGTATGTCGTATTTCTGAAATCTTCCCATGGTGTATGTGCTTGATATTGAATGCCCGCATTCCTCACATGCTATTCATTGCCTGCTGCTGCTTCTGCTGATGCTGATGCTGTAGGTGGTTCTGGATGTCGGCTGCGGAACTGGTATCCTCAGCATGTTTGCAGCCCGTGCTGGCGCCGCCAAAGTCTATGCAGTGGATCGCTCCAGCATAGTCTATCAGGCGATGGCCATTATCAGGTCAGTTTTCTGTCTCAAACTGTTTTCCGCTACTAGTATGTGTATTTGCGATTTGATTTACAAGCGGCGTGAATGATGCTGTCCCCTAGGGAAACTAAGTTGTGTTCCTGCAACGTAGAACAAACAACTGGGGGAGGTTCATGACGCATGTTGTAATCATTGTGACAGGGACTAGGGTGACTATACTCTGCAGTAGGGTGAGGATGGCCCTGGACAAAGCCACTGATATGTATTATACTCACGTGACTGTACGCATCATAGTACTTCTCCACGTATACAGTAACATTACAGCCACGGGGTGGGCTGGCAACCTACGAGTGACGTACAACTTTAATAGATATGTTGAGTGTGCTGATGAGCAAGGCCAGCTGGGCGCTGCGAGTATTCTGCATTGCATTGCATTGAGACTGTGTTTTTCCTCCCCGTGCTGCATCCGTTGCAGAGAAAATAATCTCGAGGACAAAATCACCGTCATCCGAGGTGAAGTTGAGAAAGTAAAGCTGCCATGCAAGGTGAGTAAATGTTTGGGTAATGTTTTTTCTTGCTATTAAATGCTAGGGACGGTGCATTATTAAAATTTGCATATGCGCATGTGACTGTTGACTAGTATATTGTTGCTAGGCAAGTGTTTTAATAGTATTATTATCAGTGTGTGATCTTGAGGGATAAACAGGCCAATCAACTGCTTGTGTTTCCTTTTCTGTACTGCTGTGTTCAGGTGGACATCATTATCTCCGAATGGATGGTAAGATTGCTTGAGCGTGCACCATGCAACTGAGATGCACTGGACTGCTTATTACATGTTGTACTTGTGCAGTTTGCAAATGTTCAGTTGAACCGCCTTTCCACTTTGCAATGCACATAGGTTTTGAAGTGACATTTTGAACGGTGTACTGTAATTTCACAAATTTTCGGTGTACTTTTATTTTCGGTTCTTTCGGTGCATCTGTTTCATACCTAAATTTTCAATACACCGAACAAACATCAACACACATATCCAATAGGGAACTGCTTCTCTGTACCTAAAATTTCTGTTCACCTAACCTGGCCTTTTGCCCTCATCCCAAAAATATTGAGGACAATTTTTTTTGTAAATTAGAGTACCTGCTAGTGCATGCTAACACACTGTTGTGATCTGTCTCTTTGTGCGCTGCAGGGCTACTTCTTGTTGTACGAAGCCATGTTCGACTCCGTGCTGAACGCCCGTGACAAATTCCTTGCACCCGGCGGTAATGGTGAGTGACCGTTTCTCGTGATATTGCGTGTGCTGCCTTGGCTCTCCGGGGTTTTTTTCCGTCTTCACATACCGCAGTGTCTTGTAATGCTTAAATATAAGTCTGGTTTTAGTGTTGACATTAGGGGTGAAACGGTTTGGGTGAGGAACCGGTTTTGGAACCGCTAGCTGAAAAGAATCGGGTACCCGGTCCGTCAAATTCTGAACTGAAACTCGAAAAACCTCGTTCTCATACAAATACATGTACACGTCAGGTTTACTCGAGATTTGAATGTTGTCTTATCTTACGATCACCGCCCTTCCAAAGGCTTCTCCTGGTCATTATCTTCTTCGCACATGGACTCTCCGATGTCTCGTTCGTGCTCATAAACATGTTTTCTAAAAAAACATTGTCTCGAACGCATTTTTGTCGGTCTGGAGAAAAGAGTGCGTGGAACCGATACCCGAACCGTGGGAAACTATGCTGGCATTAGGGTACCCGAACATGAAAAACATCGAACCGTTTCACTCCTAGTTGACATACATAGAAATGCCTTGTTTGAATAGAAGCCTAGCCCTGGCATCACTTCTACAGGAATAAGCCCGGCTTTAATGCGCGACATCACGGTAATAACACAGCATCATGGTATTGAACTGTTTACTGTGTGTCGTAGGTTTGAAGTATGCCACCTGTATGCTTTTGGGTGTTGTCTCTCATACGCTTCCCATTCATGTGTATCTGTTGTTCTACTACTGGGTATGTGTCTCTGTTGTACAGTGTTCCCGGCAGTGTTTACCATGCACATGGTCGGATTGGACGACGACTCGTTTCAAAGCAAGCTAGACTACTGGAAAGATGTTTACGGTACGTTGGCTGCTCTACGTGTGACCGATGCCCTTTCCTTTATCAGTGTGCTGATGTTGAAATTGAGCAAGTTTGTAATGCAGCTGAATCTAACGTTTCCGCGTTGTTCGGTGTGTAGTGTCACGCAGAGTCACTCAACTTCCCATTTCTATTGGGCTATTATCTCATTTGCCTTCGGATCTGCAGGCTTTTCCATGTCCACCATGCGCTCGTCAGATCTCCTGGAGGCAGAAGTTGCCCAGGTCACGGCGGATGGTGTCGCGACGACATCAACTGTGTTCAAGGTAGCTTCTGTGCTTGAGTTCATTTCCCAAATTATCACTGTGTGCCGTCCTGGTGACGTCATGTGTGATTGTTGTCATGCACAGGATGCCACAGGTTGGCATTAAGATGTATCTCCATAGTGTCCTTTTGAGGAGCTGGAGTGTACTTCCGTATCTACTTCCTATGCTACTGCCGAAGAAAATGAGGAATGATGAAAACCTGGGGTGTGTGCATGTGATTACAAGTACAGTCAAACCTATCTTGGACGAACATCAAGGGACCGATGATATTTGTTCGCAATAACGGGAGTTCTTCTTATCCATGTGTTTTACCCAGTGAATACACAGGGTTTTATCCAATACAGTTACGAATACTAGTTTTTCTTAGGCAAACATTTGTCTTATCAGTGTTCTTCCTAACCAGGTTTCACTGTAGATGGATGTGTGATCGCTCTCTTATCCGAACATACCCTTCATCCTAACCCTGGAGACTGACCCGTTCCCCAAGGGGTGCAGATAGTTGGCACTCTACATTACACTGTGTGATGTAAAGTTTAAAAAAAGTAGCACCAGGTGCTGGAACAGTGCTCAATACGCTGAGCAGACAGCACGTTGAGCACATATAGAACAATGCGCAGTGCACTGGGCGCGCACACGCACGCACACACACACATACAGTACTGTCAGGCGCCAAAGAACATACAGGCTAGGATTTCATTAAGCACAGCATACCGATATAAGTTATACACTGTGACTGAGCTCCACATAGACTGTTGTACTACCGTACATGGAATAAGAATGGCATCCAACAGTAATGTGCTGTAGCACTTGTGTAGCATCTGATGGACTTATGTGCATTTCTTTTCAATGTCGCCCTGTGCAAATTTATGTCTGGGAATTCTTTTGATGCCTATGGTGTAGACTCTTGATGCTCATGTGGTCAACGTGAAGGATTTGGAGTTTGAGTCATCGTTCAGATTAGAGTGTACACGTGATACGACGCTAACAGTAAGTTGAACATCGCAACTACGTCCCAGTGCTGTGTTACTATCAGTACAGCCTGCATTTTTGGAACAAATTGATCAGTGATGAACCATCATCTTGTGTCTGTCTGTCTCTGTCTGCCTTTCTGTCTTTCTGTCTGTCTCTCTTTTCGTCCTATGGGGAATTGAGGAGCATAGTGTTTACAAGCATACATAATAGTACCCTTACTTATACCGTATCTTTCCGGTTGTAAGTCGACCTTTTACGACTTAAAATAGAAGGAGAAAGGGTGGGGGTCGACTTACAACCGGGATTCGACTTATAACCGGGAACTATCAGTCTCTTACAAAAAAATGACCTGCACTGCATGCACGAGTGCACTGTGTGTACACATATTTTACAGTTTATTGGCCTTTTCAAGGATTGGGATGTTATAACCTCCAATAAGGAATGTTTACATGATTTGTTGATGTGTTCATAGCATGGAGTAGTTAGTAGTGCTTCTTTGGGTGAAAACTTTAAAACGCAGAATTGAGACCTCCGGATACGGGGGTCGACCTATAACCTGGGTCGACTTACAACCAGTAAAATACGGTACATACTTTGCTGGCTTTGGCTTTGTGTACTATTTCCTTGTGTCACTTATTGCCTTGACAATGACCCTCTCCATGCTGTATCGGTGTGCACGTTTGTTCATGGTTTGCAGGCTCTTTGCAGTTACTTCGACACCCACTTTGCATCAAGCCCCGAACAGAAAGAGGTGAGTTTTCACGAGAACAACGTTTTGCAGCCATACTGATTCATGCATCTCTAGCGTTTCAAACTGTGAGCACTAAAGTCCATGAAAACATCAACACAACTTATGGTGCAGTAGTCCGAGAAATTGCTTGGTCCTTTTAAGTATCTACAGCTGTGCTCACTGAAGTCCGACCTAAAGTGCGAAACTGGCGCCTTGGATCAGTTCCGATCACATCACTTAGGGTCGGATTTCACCGAGCACATCTGTAGTTGGATTCTGAACTCTTGTCCGTCGTTATCTTGTGCTCCAGGTGATGTTTTCCTGCTCTCCGGCTACTCCAACAACGCACTGGAAACAGACAGTGTTTGTGCTGAATGAAACGCTGCCGGTCAAGAAAGGTATGTGATGATAGGCGAGTGCATGCAGACAACCTTGGCCACTGCATTTCGGTCCTGCAGGGCCGCACTAGAGAGATGCAGTGACTTAATGCGAAACTTGTAGTGGACACGAAAAAATTGTTTCGTTTTCGAATCTGTGTCGAAATGCGTTGTACTACAGCAGTACAAAACATTTCTTTTTTTGGACGGGTTGCTTCCAAGTTTGGGACAGTGTGTTCTCGGAACACTTTGCACATCTACTTATGCGAACAGATGCAATGCGCGTGATCTTCATGAAACTCTAACCCAGACTCGACTCATTTAGTGTAAACAATCAAATCGCTGACCGTCTCCATTAGAGAGGCTCCGTGTAACGTAATTGATCTACGGAAATTCTTACGGAAACTGCATGCGGATCTGTGTGCCGCCATACGGAGTTTTCAAATCACGTAGCTGCCCTTGGCAACTCCGAACGCGGCAGTGTACTACCGGATCGACCTGGGGAGAGGGTCATAAATTTGTACTCCGATCCATTTACGGAGCACATACGTTATCAGAGCCCTATCTACGTACTCTACGTAGACAGCTTTCCATAAGTGGAGTGCAAACTTGCGAATTCACAGGTTTTTCCCGCCCACTAACGTAAAGTTGCTCAACTTTACGTCTTTTCCGCACCACGTAAAGTTGCTCAACTTTACGTGGTGCGGAACCTCTCTATTGTTGTACTTCAGTAACTTGCAAGTTGTTACTATGCAGATGTTTTAGAGCGCCTCAAGCAATTCTTTGTCGCCATTTGGGAACGCATTGTAGCGCATCTGAAGCAGGTCTGTCGATGACCGTGTTTGAAATTTTCTGTTCAAATATTCTGTATTCTGTAATGTTTGTTGCCTTTCTTTTCTTTGTTTTGTCTGTTGTCCAGGTTATATTATTGAAGGTGACATTTCTGTGAAGAAGCAGAAGCAGCATCAGCGAGCCCTTCATGTAGAGCTGAAGATTCGTGTGCAATCCAGTGAGAACACAGAGGTGTGTCGCCGAGTGCAAGAGTACGTTGTGCAGTGAGTTTGTAGCTTTTTGTCAGGGAACACTCAGATACTCAACACTCACATCTTTACCGGATCTTATTACGCTGGCCAAAAATCATGCACGCATGTGATATGCGCGAGACTAGCTAAAGTTCTTTAGCACATTCTCGTTACGTCGAGGTGGGATGAACTTGAAGTCTATCCGGTAATCCTCTTCCTCTTCCATTTCTATAGTAATTGTTACATGTGCAAGTACTTTTTTCCGGCTGGCCGGCTATGAGGCATGACACGATCTGTACATCCTTTCCTGCTACACTCTGCTGTCCTACTTTCTATTGAAATAGTATAGACAATCACATGTTACAGTGCACAAAATTAGTTGCACGATGCTCTTGCTGTAGCTGAACATTTTCTCCTGCTTTGCATGTTTCGTCATGCGTTGACCTTGACTGTACTTGAGAGCGACTTGCTTGATTGTGTAGCGGCAGACTGCTTGTAACGTTATCCACTTGGCACTGTGTGTTTTATGATTGTGTTGCACATTGCTTGAGCTGAGCCAGCTCCAAGCAAACTGCAGTGTTGCGGAACTTGCGGTCATTGACACCGCTGGCTGGGTAGACTGCCAGAGCCATTACCGCGTCCCATCATTCCATCGTGTCATGATGATGTCATGTAGCAGAGAAGATGATGAATGACAGCAGAGCATAGCACAAGGCAGAGGACGCTCTAGGTCTCATTACTGTATGGGAAACACTTCAAAATTGTGTTCCTGACTGCAACTAGAGTACAGTACAGTGTCAGTGTGTTCTCCGCCTTGGCTATGCTGAGCCCGGCTGTCATTATCAGGGAGCCATACAGTGATACTGTATTTTCACAAATTTTCGGTGTACTTTTATTTTCGGTACTTTCGGTGCGTCTGTTTCACACCTAAAATTTCAGTACACCGAACAAATCAAATACTAACACACATAATCCGGGGAACTGCTTCTCAATACCGAAAATTTCTGTTCACCTAACCTGGCCTGTTGCCCTCATACCGAAAATATTGAGCACCGAAAATTTCTGAAATTAGACTATACAACCAGGGAGTAGTAAACACTACTCCCTGCATACAACATCATTACATGTAAGTGCTCATACGTTATGCATGATGATGATGATGATGATGATGACACTGACATTCTGTGACATGTCGACAGCACAAGTCAATGACAATGGGGAGGACACATAAATAAATGCATACTAAATTTGTTGATGTATGGAAAACAGTGTTCCTATCCGACTCCAAACAAAATCGTTCAGTCCCCGGGGTAGATCTACGGGTTCCTTGCAATATTGCATTACATGCATGATGCAATGATGCATGCATGCAATCAGGAATTAATCCGGAACATGACCATGACAGTGTACATGGTGTATGTGTGCGCCTAGCGCCTGTGTCCTCCGCATTTACATGTATCATGATTATCAGGGAGTCGTAAAATACCGGTATTTTACGACTCCCTGATGATTATGCTCCCTGCTCGTACTAGGAGCGGAGCGCTGGGTTCGAGAGCATGATTTGTACGTGTAACGATCGACCATGCATGCATGCTGCGCTGATGATGCTAGCATGCTGATCGCTGAGCGCGCCGCGCGCGCTAGTATGGATGTTGCATCGAAGTAGCAGCGCAGTACGAGTACGTAAGCTAAACGATAGCTAGCCTAGCCGGCCATCTACACGTAGATCTACGTAGCGCGCGGGGATGCACCGGGTCACTGTGGGGAAGGGCGATACGACGCAGCGAAGACGATCTTGCTGATCTGAGTGAGACTGAGGATTCAGTGATCGTACAAAAGACTCCACGATATCGCGATCTCTTTATCTCTGGAATATTTTTTCAACTTTTGAACACAAAGCGAAACCTGTTGCGTTGTCGTGTTGGGCTCAGGCAGGTTTATTGAGAAGAACTTGATACTGCTGGTAGCAGAGTTCATTTGCCGAGTACTAGTACATCAACTCGTCTTGATGACACTAGCTTGTGGTGCGGTGCTCTTTATTTCAGGAGTTGTCTGAACAGAGGCCACCTCGTGCCTTCGCTGCCAGTTTTATAGAATCTGATAGCCTTTGAGTTGGAGAAATGGAGTACGAAGAAGGTGAAATTGAGGATGTGGAAGAAGGGTAAGTCATAGTCATGATCAATAGGAACAAAAAATAGGGAGGGAAGGAGAAGAGCAGGAATTCTTCGCTGGTTTAGTGTGCTATTAAAGTTAGTTGCGTATGAAAGTTATCTTTGTAGAAGTATTCTCGGTTCATGAATCATCCTGACTCAATAGGGCTTGAAAGTGATGACGTCAAAAACGGCCTGGGAGTAGTAAATTGACATCAGATTTCTATTTTGGATCCACTAAGGTGTGACTTTGCTATTGCCTCAGTATGTGGGTGCATAGCAACCCACTCATGTCGTATGCAGGTGCAACTTTTACTTCGCCACCAGTTGTCACCCCGCCCCCACTAGCCAAATCAGTCAGTTTCACTGGCAACATCACCTTGCTGTGAGTGAGACCGCTTGAAATGTGCTTGGATCCATACAAAAACTGGATCCAGGTGGATCCAGTTTTCGAATTTTTCAAATTGTTGCTATGCCATTGCTATGGAGTGACGTAGCACTTTCAAGCCCTATTGAACACATTTTGTAAGTAAGATAATGCCGTCATTGGTGAAAAATTAGATTATCTTAAAGTTTATTTACTCTTGCGTAGTTATGGCATAGCCACTGGCTGTAGTAGGGTGGAGAAGGGAACCACTACTATAATTGTACAGGACTACTGTTTTGAACAATTTATCGAGGCCATATTTTTAGAACTGTATGTAGGTATGCATTGGTACAGCTCTTTAGAGGCAATAATTATCATTAAACATGTGGCTGCATGCTGCAGCTGCATGGGGTCATATTAATCGCTCAGGCAAGGCGACCATTTCTACAGTTTCTTGTAGGGGTGGCATCGGGTAGTAGGGTACCCGTGCTACCCGTAATTAGAACGGGCATTCGGTAGGGGTGTCAACGAGTAGTAGGGTACCCATGCTACCCGTAATTAGAGCGAGTATTCAGGTAGCAATTTTCTCCTGAGAGCCCGCTCGGGTAGTTGGAGTTAGGTGTTTTTGAAACGGTGCATGTAAAAACATGCTTACTGTACTGTACACTTTCTATGTAGCACACGTGCACACTCACGGTTCACACTATGTCAAGAAGTACCCGATAGGGTACCCGTGCTACCCGGATACAAATTCCTGTTACCTGACCAAACCCCTACCCGTTGCAGCCCTAGGTTCTTGTTCATTCTCAATGATATGGATAGTTGTAGACATTTTTTTCTATCATGCCGTAGAAAGTAGTTCTTAAACGGACATCTTTGCTTTTTTTATGCAGTGCATATACAGTGGTCCCTCTATAATCCGGCAACATTTGTGACAAGGGAAATCTGCTGGATTAGGGAGGGTGCTGGATTAACAAATCTGATTGACTGCTGCAATGTGCATGAAGAGGACATTTTGGCTACTGAAAATCGTGCTGGTTTATCGAGGGTGCTGGATTATAAAGTGCTGGATTAGAGAGGGACGACTGTACCAGTATACACCGCACAGTAGAATGTCGATTATCCTAACATCCAATATCTGAAAGATCAAATATCCAAAATGCTAGTTTGCATCGAATTGAAGGGACGGAAATGAGGTTCTGCTGATTTCCCCCATGCGAAGCATCATTCTAATGGCACACAGGATGTATGGCAACAGGTTGAAGTCAGGATGTACCCCCATGGCATCATTTTGAGGAGTTGAAGTGTATCTAGTTCCTGTGGTGCTGCCGGAGAGAATAAGAAATGATGAGAATATGAGTGAGTGTGCATGGTTTAGACGTATGTGTGACCGCTTCCTTATCCAGACATACTCCTCATCCCAATGCCCTGGAGACAGCCCTGCAACCCGAGGGGAGTGGATACTATGTTTGGCACTCTACCAGAATAGAAGCAAGGGTAAATGTAACCTGTTATGTGTGCGAAGTTGTGAAGCGTCTTAGCCATTCAATGCAGCCGACTAACGACTAGCTTAATTGGGCTCAGGCGCCGTAAAGGTATAGAGATGAAGGACGCGTCACTAGGTTATGGATCATGCCATGGTCAGGATCGTGTGCGCGCACACCACACACCCGCGCGTGCATACACACACATATGCAGTCAACAGTGTACGTTTTATAATGGCTTCAGTGATCTTTCCTGCCTGTAGCGACTCTCCTAAGGACCAAGTAAGGTGCACACGGCTGCAGCAGTGGTGTGTCAGTTTGGATGCTCTTTTTCTGTATTTATTTACTGGTGTTGACCGAGCACATTCCTTGCTTTTTATTTGTTCTTGATTTGACCTCACAGGTACCAGGACAGCTCGCGCCAGGCTAGGGATGACGAAGAGCGTAGCAGCCACCGGCACAAGAAGCACAAGCGTCACCATAAGCACCGTCATCACGACGAAGACAAGCAGCGCTCCAGGCAGGTGGAGGTGTCCGAGGAGGAAGTGCAAAAGAAAGACGAGGATGAAGACGTCGAAGATGCACGGTCGCACAGTCATCATCGACGCCACAAGCGCAAGCATAAAAAGAAGAAGCACCGTCACCAAGGCTCGGCATCGGAGGCGGATTCAGATGGCAATGACTCATCAGAGCACCATAGGAAGAAGAAGCGCTTGAGTGATGGCGAGGATGACCAGTTGATGGTGTTGGAGAAGCGTCGAAAGCTTCTTCAGAAGCAGCTCCATGAAGATGGCCTTTGTATTGTGGATGCGGAAGACCAGCAGCTCAGTCGAGATGATAGCCAGCAAAAGAGTACGGGAGGTCTGTCTTCACTGCAGGACTACACCTCATCGCCAGAGTCCACGCCCGTGCGTGGAAATGAAGTGGCGGCAAAACTTGAAAACGGGGACGGCAAGCACCGTCGTTCGGCCGAGTCACCAGAGGACAAGCCTGATCGGCACATTAGAGATCGGTCGAGCCGGGAAAAGCACAAGCGTAGTCGGTCTCCTCACGAGGAAAAGCGTTCTCATCGCTCATCCGAGAAGTCCAGTAGATCGATACCCGACGAGCAGGCCAGCAGTCGAAAGCACCACCATAGCCCATCACCGGATGAGACAGCTTCGCCCGTGCGCCGCCGAAATCGGAGTAGGTCACCGCGCAGTCGCAATGGTGCATCGGCAGCGGAGAGTTCCATGCCCAGACGCAAGCGCAGCTCCAGTCCCCGGTGGAGGCAGCGTAGCCGAAGTCCCGAGTCGCGGCACACCAGGAATCGTAGCCGTTCTGCCGAGCGCCGGCGCACCAGTAGAAGTCCACCAGCACGCATTCGCCGACGGAGCAGAAGTCCTGCTCTTCGTGGAGGCAGCCGTCGCTCAGTCGATCGTCATCGTCGCAGCCCCAGGCGCCGGAGTCGCTCACCGGATCGAGGCAGGTCACGACGCTCTCCTCGGCGCAGCAGGTCTCGCGATCGCGCTCGTCGATCGGATGGTCGGCACTCGGACCGGAGGCATCGTGATTCACGCTCCAGAGCACACAAACGGGAGTCATCTGGCTCAGAGTAAGTGAATAAATGCTCATTGTTGCAGTTCATGTATTTTGTGTCGTGTTGGATTGGTTCACTTCAGTTTATGTCTTACGAGTGCTTTGGCTGAATGGTTGTGGGCTTGCATGCAAATCAAGACACTTGGTTCAGAGTAAGCTGCTTGTGTTTCTCAAACAGGTATCTTAGCAGCCGGTGTAATGCAGATGTGAGTGAAACTTGGGGGTAGTAGGAAAAGACAGTACACCATTTATACTACAGTCGTCCCTCTCTAATCCGCCACCTTTTGCAGCGGCATTTTCTGCTGGATAAACAAGGGTGCTAGATTATCAAATCCTGTCATCCAACCCGGCCCACCTATTAACCCTTTATCGACTGAGCTCAATGTGTGTGGAGAATTGTGCCCTCAAATTCTTTACCTTTATTTGGACGTAACTTTAGTTTCCCTGGGACAATTGTCATAATCTTGGGCATCCTGGAAAGCCCCTGATGAGAGGAATACGATGAGCCCAAACTTTGAGTCCACGAGATGCGCTGGACCTCCAAACCAGCTAGTTGCAAGCCCGCGCTGGTCACAGCAGTACGAAATAGTGGTTGCGACTTCGGCGATGATTGTTAGGAGAGGGTTTGCTTCCCACCCTGGAGTTCGCGCTATTCCGCCGACTTGGCTTGACACTTGACTGACTCACGGCTGCCATCCAGAGCACACGAGAAGTCCATCGAACCTTCGACTCGGCAAACCTGCCAGTAAGTACCACTCCCAGTCGGCGGAATAGCACGAGCTCCCGTGTGAGGAGCAAACCCTTTCCTAACGATCATCGCCGAAGTCGCAACCACTATTTCGTACTTCAGAAGTAGTTATTTTATAATGTTAGTCACTCACACAAAGTAATTAGTTACGCACACTTACAGCAGTCTACTACTACATGTACCATAAAGTCATGTATAAAAGCCGCGGCTTATCTGACTTTTTGGGGGAAGTTTTGCAGGCTTCTATACAAGACAACAAGACAGGTATTTCTATGTATGTCAACACTAAAACCAGGCTTATATGCCAATAGTGTATCTTGAAAATCAGGCTTCTATTCAAAATAGGCTTCTATAGGAGACCGGCTTTAATACATGACATTACGGTATGTCAAAACACATTCTTTGGTCATTGTAGTCAGTGTTGTCTGGTCCCTAGCATGTCACACACTGACTAACATCAATCAAGATGTACTTTCCTTCTCTGTACTTGTGGAGTGTCGTATGTTCTAAGAATCTCGTTTCTGGGAAGCTTACTTTCACTTTGTTACTGCAGAGTCATTGACTTGCCCGTGGGGATGATTTGTCTTTCTTTGCTTCAAGGGCACTTGAGTTTGAAATGGAGGAAGAAGTTGACGAGGAGGAGCAGATTCGACGCATGCGTGAGCGCCGGCAGAAGATGCTGCAGGATGTCAAGCAAGCAGAAGCCACGATTCAACCGACGGCCGCTGCCCTGGCTGCTAAAGCAGCAGCACCAGCAGATCCCACAGATCCCACCGATGCTGCTACACCTGCTGTTGGCGCTGCTGCTGGTGCTGCTACTGCTGCTGCTGCTGATAGCAGTGACGATAACGAGAAGAAACGGCAAGATGGCATTGACTCCGATGATGATGACATTGTGGAGATAGAAGCCGATGACAAGGTAGAGAATTAGAATTCAGTGTTACCACTTCTTTTTGAATTTTTAGTGCTTGATTGTTTTCCTGCACGTCAACTTGCCAAGCGCATGTTTTTAACGAAGTTCTGTAGTACTTTGTAGTTACAGGTGAAATCCTGATAATTCGAACCTCAAAATGCCAGGAAAAAAACTTCTAATTATCCAAACATGAACCCACAACTCAATATGTATGTCAAAATGCTCTCATGATCACGCAGAGTTGCGCTATGGACCTTAGACACAAATTTTATGGACACTGAACTGACCGACACAGCCTGCTCATGCAAACTGAACTGACAAGTACAGTGTACAGTGAACTTCGAATTACACTTTGCTAACTTCGAATTATCAGCACAAATCCCACACATTTTCTATGTAAGTGGAATCTGTGGGACTTCGAATTAACCGGCCATGTCCAGTTCGAGGTTCGAATTATCAGAAAATTTTATGTGGGAATCGTATTGACAGAAATCGGTCCTGGAAAAACTTCTAATTAAGCGGTATGTTCGAATTAAGCCATATTCGAATTATCAGGATTCCACCTGTACTAGGTACAATTGTAGATTACTAAGTAGTCAGTATTCTCAAATCAGTAGTGTGTGTTGATCTGTGATTCCGTTGAGTACATCCATGATATTGTAGTGGTTGCTTGCGTTGTACATGTACGTTGAAGGCCACCATGGTGTATTGTTGGCTGTACATTGCACCCATTTAGACCTTGCCGGGCCCATTCCGTGGCTTCGGTGAGGGGGACCTGTGTGCGACAGAAACGCCCTGGTCAGCTGTATGGCTACGCATGGCTCACTGATGCGTAGCCGCTACACTGTACCCGGTGACAGTCTTCTTAGATTTCTCTACTCCGGTACTTTTAGGTCGTAGCATTGTACGCATGCATTGGATTTGTATTAGATTGGCGCACTGGTAAAGCTGACTCTTCTTCTGCGTTTGTTTTTTTGCTTGCTTGTAACCTACTATCCCTGCAGGCCTTCGTGAAGGAAGATATGGACATGTTTGCTGGCGACATGTTCAGTGAAAATTATGATGTAAGTCAATCTATTTGGACTGAAAAGGTATGTTGCTATGTAGAACGTTTTCATTGAGCTGGTTCTGCGAAAGAATGCGCCCGGTGTGCTGAGAGTGCCCAGGTGCTGCGAGCTGGTTCTCAGCTCCTTTTAGAGTGAAGGCAGGTATGGGTGATTTGTATGTGCTAAGTTAGATTTGTGTTGTACTGTAGCCGTGATTTCTGCCCGAGCTATCGCCAACCCGGTGCTGCACACAGTCTGTTGATTAGATGGTTTGTTTCAAAATAAACCAATGATAGTGCAACTCAACCGGTAGTTATTGGTTCGGTGGCTCACCGATTTGTAAAATTGCAGCTCATAGAAACCATTTGAAGTTCCCGTGAAAGTGTCTAAAACCTGCAGGATTTCTAACCCCACGTCGCACAGGTAAGCGAGAAGAAACCAGAGTTATTATCAGTATGAGGCAGCTCAAAAAGTTTCAATGCGCATTTCTGATCGGCATCGCGCACTAGCTTCGAGCTTCGCCATGTACCTTTAAGGCCACCATGGCATATTATTGGTTTTACATTGCACCCATTTAGACCTTGCCGGGCCCCTTCCGTGGCTTCGGCGAGGGGGACTTGTGTGCAACAGAAACAGTCCAGGTCAGCTGTATGGCTACGCATGGCTCACTGAAGCGTAGCTGCTGCACTGTACCCGGTGACAGTCTTCTTAGATTTCTCTACTCAGGAAGTGAAATTGATGCTTGTAGTCTATAGCCAGGGTCTTCCCGAAGCTGTAGAGCTTTCTTTTGTAATGATTCGACAATATTTGAGCGTGTTGCGAATAATTTAGTGATCGCCTATTACATCGATCCACTTGAATCGATTTTTGAATGGTGGGTAGTGAGATGGTTAATATTGATGTGGGTTTATATGTGTGTGTGTGTGTGTGTATGTGTGTGTGTGTGTGTGTGTGTATGTTTCTTGTGATACAGAGTCCTGGACTGAAACACGTGGTAGGTGGTCGCAATGAGAACCCAACGCTAAAGGACAACTGGGATGATGCGGAGGGCTACTACAGTAAGTTACCGGTATATGGAACGCTGGAAGCATAGCGTAGTTTGTTGGACCCGGACATGTGACTTGGAACTTGGAAGTACAACATTTGAGTGCATCTGTAGTAAATGTTCAAAGTCATTAAACCTTCCGTACTGGTTTTTCATCTGTGGGGGGGGGGGGGGGTACTTCACCCCCTTCCTTTGCATGGTTGTGTAGGATTGATTCGCGCCTCGTGTGTGAGCATTGATGAATGCCGTTGGGCTGAGTTGAAATGCTACTTTCTCTGTTGATACAACGCAGCTAAGTTTGTAGCTTTTTCTCATCAGTCCTGGAGGGCTAGTAATGGCATTTATGTACCATGGTGCAGCACGCTCACTCGTTGTGCTGTTTATTTGTGTGTTTGTTGTTATCGCGCAGGAGTGTGTATTGGCGAGCAACTGGACAGTCGCTACACCATCTATGGCTTCACTGGGCAGGGTGTGTTCAGTAATGTAGTGCGTGCCCGCGACAGTCTGCGCCCCAATCAAGAAGTGGCCGTGAAAATCATCCGCAATAACGAGATGATGTAAGTCGTAGACCCAGGGGAGCATGTTGCGTGTTTCTTGTTTTAGTGATTTTAGTGAGACGCAACGTCAGATTTGATACTGGAAATGGCTGCTAACAGAGATATTTTATGTTCTTGTTTTTTCAAATTTGCCAAGTGGCCGACTGCCTGAAGCCATTCAGATTTGGAGATATGGCATTTGTATGCATTTTCCTGTTGTGTTTTTTTGTTTTTCATTTTCTTCTGCCTGTGCAACTTCCTAAGCTGGTTGTGTTTCTAAACGCAATTGTAAGTCCAGTGACAGCGTGGATGCGCGAACTTTGCTTCTACTTTTTATTCTGCCTCACCAGCACCATCAAGTGTTAGTTTCAGCGGACAAGTTTGTTTCTCTCCGTTTCTGATGGTGTTTGCAGGCACAAGACTGGTCTCCAGGAATTGAAGATTTTGCAAAAGCTCAACAACAATGACGTGGACAACAAGTTCCACATTCTACGACTCTACCGTCACTTCTTCCACAAGAACCATCTGTGCATGGTTTTTGAGTCTCTCCAGTAAGTAATAAGTGGCACTGCACACTATGTACTCTGTGATGGCTTATGGACAAGGGGGTCTGTTACGACATGCTCTACCCCGTCTTGTAAGTATAGTCCAAATTGGTTTTTGAGTCTCTCCGGCAAGTGAGGAGTAGCACTGACCTCCATGTGATCTGTAAAGGCTTGTGAACAAGGGGGTCTGTTACTGCATGCCCCATCTATCCCGTGCCGTATGTATTGTCCAAACGCTTTTCGCTGGACCCCTTTTCGGCCTGTTTCTGTGTCTGTGAGTTGATGCCTGCAGTCCGGTGTAGGTAAGACCAAGCAAAGTCTTTTTCTCGGTATTGTGGTCATTTTTAGCCTTGAGATTGTATAATTGAGTAGTTTCCCTTCTTTCCTGTTTCTATTTGTGTAGCATGAACTTGCGGGAAGTGCTGAAGAAGTATGGCAAAGGCGTTGGCCTGCATATCAAAGCAGTGAGGTCGTACACACAGCAAATGCTTCTGGCACTGAAGCTACTGCGTCGTGTCGGTGTGCTGCATGCGGACATCAAGCCAGACAATATCCTGGTCAACGAGAATAAGATGTCCTTGAAGCTGTGCGATTTCGGATCGGCGTCGCTGATCACTGGCGAGAATGACATCACGCCATACCTGGTCAGTCGTTTCTACCGATCACCGGAAATCAGTAAGTCCTTTGGATACTAGTCATTGTACGCTGTTTCTTCGTGTACATGGACAGTGTCTTAGTTGTCGTGTACATGGACAGTCTCTTAGTCTTCGTGTACATGGACAGTCTCTTAGTTGTTCTGTAGTGAACTGCAATTTATACGAACGAATATTCGCTCGAATGAAAAAATCAACCGACGAATAGATTGCTTTGCTTTCCCCTGACGTTGTGCATCGGAAAATTAATTTATGCTTTTTCAGCCTGCTGATACAGGTGCGGTGGCTCTCACACAGCGGCGCTAAAGCACCAATGTCACCATGCGTGTATGAGTATGTTTTGGCATGTTCATTCACCAGGTCTAATGAAATTTCGAATCTTTCAAATTTTAATTTTCCTACCTGTATTTGAGTATTCTTGAAGCGCGGTTAGGTTGAATAGTCGAATATTTGATACATCTCTCCAGTTGTAGTTCTCATACGTGCATCACAAGGAGATTGCATTATGTGTTAGTATATGAAGTGCATCGGTGTGAACTGTCATTGCAGTGTTTCAAAGTGCTGTGTGAATGTAACAGAGGAGGCTGGTAAATGGAAGCTCTGAAAAACCAACTGACTTTCCTCTTCTTTTCATGGGCTGACAAGAATTACCTCAGTGTGAGATCTGTCCTGGCACTACCTTGCTAATTTTCAGGCTCTTTGTTACCCCTCGTGCCTGCCATCCTGGTCACTGCGACGTGTGACGGTCCTTCTGATTTTGGCCCTGGTCTGTTATCTTGTGTTGCGTGCAGTTATCGGACGGCCCTATGACTACGCTCTTGATCTATGGTCCGTGGCATGCACCATGTTTGAAACCTACACTGGAAAGATCATGTTTCCCGGGAAGAGCAACAACCAGATGCTGAAGCTCATGATGGACCTGAAGGGCAAGATGCCAAAGAAAATGATCCAGAAGGCCGTGTTCCGTGACAAGCACTTCGATGCCCAGTGCAACTTCCTCAATATTGAGGTGGATAAAGTTACCGAAAGGGTAAGTTGGATTGACAGCCCAGGTGTGCACTGAGCATTGTGTATGAGGACGTGGGGGGGGGGGGGGGGCATGGCTTGATATAGTGATGACCTACAGTGGAACTGACACATTGGGTAGTTTGCATGATGTACAGCTTGTGCTGCATCATGCCACTAGCACGGGAGTGCGGTGTTCTTGTTCGGTTGCCACTAACTCGAATGAAGTTTGGTGGACTTGAGCTCGTATGCTTGATGTCAAATCATGGCTGGCACCGATGCCTTCTTTGCTGGTGCAGCCAGCACTGATGCCACTGAATGAAGGAGGTTTTGAGCAGTTTATTTTGAATTCAACCTTGGGTAGCACGTACCTTGGGTAAGGCAGATTCTATGGCAGATTGTTTATGTTTGTAATTGTGTAACTGTTCCTCTTGGCTACCGTACCAGGGCTTTACTTTAGTATCGGTGCACAGAAATGCAGTGATGAAACAGGGTTTTTTCAGGTTTCAAGTAGGGCACATAGTAGTCATTTGGAATGGCTGTATTATTATATTATACTAGCAGCACCCCCGGCCAGCGTTGCCTGGCCGAATGTGGCATGCGGGTGAAGCAAGTACATGAACAGTACACGTGCTCAGCACGTGGTGGTGGCCAGACCGCTGAAGTCCTGGTGAGCTTGAGGGAGGTTCTTCATCGTTGGAAGGAGAAGGAGGGACGTCTGTTACGCCTTCGGGAGGCTGGTCAGGGTTGTCCACCTGGTGGCGGATGAAGCGGCTCAAAAAATTCATAAAATTACGAACAAAAGTGCGATGCGCTCTTCACTGCAGATCAGATGCAGAGTGCAGTCAGTGCAGATCTTTTGTATCCTTTTGTTGCAGATGTTTCTATTTGCAGAGAACGGTTCACGTGGTCCGCAGCGCTTGTGCGGCTGCTAGTGCTACCTATGGCCTAGGCTAGGTATAGGTGGCTACATGATTCGCACGCTTCGCGTGCTCAGTGCTTCTGCGCGCGGCTGCTACTGCTACTCGTACTGATCGTGTCTGCTACCACCTACACTGTTCGCACGCTTCGCGTGCTCAGCACGTGGTGGTGGCTACACGATTCGCACGCTTCGCGTGCTCAGTGCTTCTGTGGCTGCTTCCGCTAGCTACACGATTCGCACGCTTCGCGTGCTCAGTGCTTCTGCGGCCGCTAGCTACACTGTTCGCACGCTTCGCGTGCTCAGGGCAGCGTGACACAAAAACACACGTCACAGGTGCCTCTTCTTTATAAGGAGCGTGACACACACACACACACAGACACACGTCACAGGTGCCTCTTCTTTATAAGTAAAGATAGTCAGTTTGCAGCAAAGTTTAGTGCAGGGCATGTGCTACACCTGCTTTGCTATCTGTTTTCTTGAGTAATAATTGGAATTTTTGCTGGTGGGGTGTTCAGGATTGAACACACATGGTGCATTTGTGTATGTGTGTGTGTGTGTGTGTGTGTGTGTGTGTGTGTGTGTGTGCATGTGTGTGCACGTGTGTGTGTGTGTGTGTGTGTGTTGGTTGTACCCTGTGACAACGGCCTTGTCAGCTGACTCTCCCTGTCCTTTCCATGCGGGCCAGCACACTTGGGACTACGTGTGTGAAACGTGTGCTCTTTGTTGTCCTGTCTGTCTTCTCTCTGTCTTGATGTCTTGTGCAACAGGAAAAGGTCACTGTAATGGCCATCATCAATCCAACGTTTGATTTGCTTGGAGCTCTGAGAGGCCGCCAGTCGCTGGACGAAGAAGGTTTCCGCAAGGTTAAGCAGTTCAAGGATGTGCTCGACAAGATGGTGTTTTTAGACCCGACGAAGCGGATCACCGTGAATGAAGCCCTGCACCACCCGTTCATCACCGAGCAGTAGCGGAACGAGACAGGAAGTAGTATGGCTGTTGGCGGGCCAGCCGTATTGTATCAAGAAGCTTGTGCTGGTCATTAGCTGATGCCGTTTTGCGTCTTTTCTCTGGCTTCTCTTACAGCTCCGATGGCCGCAGGCATGATCCTGCGCCACTGCGTCTTGGTGCCGGGTCGTTGGCTACCCAAGAAAGAACGTGCACAAGCCAATGGCTTTCCACATGTGCTCCTCATTCCTACGCATGGGCCAGCAAAGCAAGAACTTTTGCCAGCATCACGTGCTGTTAGTACTTTGCTAAGACATCTAGAATTCATGATTTTCCATTGCCTATTTGTTTGATTCCACAACTCGTTGGTTTTGTTTTGGTTTTTTCCTCTAGGTGAATTTGTGTAAGACCAGCTCCCCTTCTTCTCTGTGGTCTGGCGAAATGTTCACCTTTTGCTCTTGTTAAACTCCACCATGTGGATCTGTATTGTAACTACTCTGCATTTGACATGGCTGTGTTTGCTCACCATGTCCCAGTGAAGGATTTGGTTAAATTCTGCGGTGATTTGTTGTGATCACTTTGCAGGGACACACGTGCTGTCTGACTTGTACTGGATGAGTCGCCGAGGGCCTGCCAGAGGCCATGCAGTGCATTTGCGGTAATATGTTAAGTGCCGTGTACTGGCTGTGGGCGTGCAATGGGGCTGGTGGGTGGGCGGGGTGAGAGATGGACGTTTCCTCCCGGAAAATCACTGCCAGCGGGTATTTCGACGGCGTGATTTTGTATTCGGAGCGAATGGCATGGTTTGCGAATTGTCCACCGTCTGGACTTCGTGCAAGGTGTCATGGAGTTGTTTTTAGACAATCTGCTTTTTATTTTTGTACTGTGAAGATTATGAATGGATGTGGTTAGATTTCCTGAGATCGTCATCTCTCTGCTTCAAAATTTTCTGTGCATTCTGATTGTGCTATCCGTTTGTTGTTCATCCATCTGCTGTGGTTTCTGCATGTGTCTTCTGGACACTTCCTTCGTCTGCGTGGTGCGTTGCTCTCCTAGTCTTTGATCTGTTCTAATAAGTCTGTGCCGGTGCTGTTGCTGTGTGCTGTGCATTGTCATGTCTTGTCTCTGTTCCCGCAGGCGAAGCTTGTGAAAACATCGTGGACGTACTTCCCTTCGCTGCGTGCTGCGGTCGAGTGTATTGTACGTAATTTTGTCGTTGACGCGCGTCAGTGTTTCTCCTTCTGCATTTTTTCAGGTGCTGTGCGGCCATGTTGAATAGCTTGTGGTTATTGAGTATGCAACATTGTAGGGCATACATTTGTCCTCTGCAATCTATCTAATTCCCCAAGGTGCACACAATCTAGTGCTCAGAACCCCACCTGAACACTGTTCTTTGGAGACGATGGAGTATGTACAAAATTAGCCACAATGTACCTGCAATGGCTCAGGTTTCGGTCACATAAACTGGGCTGGGTGGGGTTTATGCACTGGAGAATACGGTAGCACTCCGGTGGGGGTTAGGGGTCATTTAACCTATGAACTTCTTACCACACTGCTATGTTAGACGATCGCTTCTTGACGTGTCTCCTTCACGTTAACATTTTTATGTTCTGGTTCTAAGGGTTTCAGGCCACACGCCCACCGCTTTTTCTTTGCCTGCGAAACTTGCAAGCCAGATCGACAAATAGCGGTGAGTGTGTGACCGGAAATGCTCTGTTTGAAACCGAACTCTGTGAAGTCTTGAAACTTGTAGTGCACCGTGCAGAAGTATTTTTTTTTATGTGGCATGCGTTTTATCAACTGTATTAGCTCAGTGCAACTGGTAATGTGAGGTGACTGCTTCTCCTTGCTTTATGCAATGGCGATGTTCTGTTCAGTTGGACTATTGTCCTATTATTCGCAAATCTGAACGTCTTTTTTTAAAATCCTGCTCTCACAGTTGCGTTTATTGGAGATGGAGTATTTAGTTTTTCTTTCTTTCATGTATGTAGCTGTCATGTGATCTGTTTATACCTGTGCAAGAGCTTTGCAGAGGCGTTACTCGTAATGATAGTTTCACGTATCTCCTTCACCCTGACAAATCAACAAAAAGGATATTCCGGCAGGTTGTGCGTGTATGTGCTCGCGTGTATGTGTTGTGGTGCTGATGGTTGGATATCGGAAGAGAGCATGTGTGAGACGGTGTACGCTTTCCAAAGGTCCAAAAGTGTGTGGGCGTGTCTCCCAAAATGTAATGGTTCTAGCTGTTTGATGGTGGAGCAAAGATATCGCTGTAAACACTGTGCCTGGTCCTGCCATTGGGATACCGTGCGAACACGGGGCATGTTTAATAAGCTCATGCAGTTGATGGTAATGAGTGTGACTATGTCCCATGGACCCTTGCCCAGGGTGTAGTACAATGTACTCACATGTACATTGTGCATGTATAAATTGTAACAATAGATGGACTACAGTCAGACCTCGCTTAACCGCACACATTCGTTTTCCGCCAAAACATCCTGATAGGCGAGGGAACCGGATAACCGAACGCCGACTATGTTGGATGCACCACGTGTGCTGTAAATCTGTAACCAGGTATTTTCTTCCGGACGGCGAGGGATCCGGATAAAAGAGAACTGGATATGCGAGGTCTGACTATATCAAGAGTCCATAACCTCACTGTCCTCAGGTCCATAACCCCTGAGGTTATGGACTCCTGGTACTTTCAATAGCATTGCACTTGTTGTCTACCGGGGAATCCCCGGAATCTACAAAAATGCCATTACTACCGGGGAGCGTCTTACTACCCCATACCAAGAGTACTCTTGCCCATACCTAGTCAAAGAAGAAATTAAAACCAGACTGACCGTACATGTGAAACAGCATAGCAACCTATGATCTGCTGGTACAGTGGGTATGTAACTGTTGGATCAGCTGATAATGTGATATCCGGTATTCCGGATATCACATTATCAGCTGATCCAACATACCCACTGTACCAGGCTACCACTACCAGCACTGGTCCAGCAGATGCGCATATCATATGCCTCGATCTATCTTTTTTCTATGCGTAGCGTCATTTGTGCATGTGTACGTGTACGAACATCGCATGTCGTTTTTTGAACTGACAATCTTTCATTTTGCAAATAAGTTTTGGATTTCATCATTCATGTTCTGCCAAAATTGACAGGCATAATTTATGCATTGTTCGTGTTCTTGGCTGTCAGTGTCTTGAGTCTCAGCCCTACAGAAATAATAATTTCTTTAGCTGTGGCTTATGAAACAATACATCCGGATAACTCTCGGCACGGCTCAAGTGGTGCTTGACTATTGCCGGAAGAGGGTCGAACAAACGCTGATCGCCGAGGCAAATTACAAGACGAATTCCAGCAAAAGAACAAGTTTATAAACGACGTGGCAAATCTTGAAGCTCAATATTAGGCCCTTGCTGTGGGAGAATATACTCCTTTGGCTTTGAGTCGAAACAGAGCCTATTGTGAAGTTCAGAGCAGTCGGGTAAATAATATTTGCAGCGATGGCGACTGCTGGGTCCGGTGACCCTACAGGCTCTTCGGACTACGATGGGAAAAGAATGTCCTCCCAGATTACAATTCGCCACTTGCCATCCCTGGAGAACGTAGCTGAGATCAAGACATCGTTCAATCGTCATCTGCATTACACCCTGGCAAAGGATCGAAATGTTGCTACACAGCGAGACCACATGGTGGCGCTGTCACACACCGTCCGTGACCACTTGTTCAGTCGCTGGATTCGCACTCAACAAGCTTACTTTGACAAAGATCCGAAGGTAAGATGGTCGGAGAAAAATTGAATCCAAATTTAGCAGATAACTTCCTGCTAAACAGAACTGGAAATTTACATCCCTGAGGAAAACACAATCACAATAATGTACATGTAGTAGAAGTGTAAATTTCCATTCTGACATGTTATGCATCTACATGACAGGTTAGAAGTGTACCGATGCAAACGTATAACATCTAGCTGAGTGTACCCACCTTTGTCAAGCGTATTCAACACAAGTATCCGCACACACAGACAATTTTAATATTGTGATGAGGACGAGCTGAAGTGACATTGGATTACTTTATTTTAAAACAATGTCAAGTGATGGAGACGATGTGAAAACAATCTAAAAAAGGTAAGGAGAAATACATGTAAGAAGAACAGGCGATGAAAAAAAGATGATTCAAACAAGTTTCCGTACAACACTCTTCAGGAATCACCGTTGTATCGTTCTCCTTATTGCAATATCAGAATTATTATGGAAAAGATACAGTTCCCCCAAAAGTTTATGATCATGCCATTGACAGCAGGTACGTGTACCGGCACATCCCTCTCCAGAATGTAGTAGGAGTGTAGAAGCGGCAGGGTGTAAAGCTCTGTGCTTCCTGTCTGGACTAGTGTCAAAGCAAAGCTTGCTGAAGTGGGCACTTAAGTTATGGCATGCATGCATGAGCTGCTACATGCACTTTTACTGCATGCACTGCCCCCTCTCAACTCAGTACTTCTACCAGTCACTACTAGCAAGAGTACATAACCCGGTTATATACTTTTGGTACTAGTAGTACTGTCCTACATGTACATATAGGACAGTACATCAGGGAGTCGTAGCAGTGGGAGACAACTTGGGTAGGGCCACTGGAACACCAAGCAATAATAAATTATGGGTTTGGGTCCCCTACTGTCCGTTCTGGTCGCTCTTGGGGCAGGGCCGGTTTATGCACACTCGCACATGTCATCGCTGGTCTGGGCAGCGTTTGAGGTCAGCGGGTCAAATCCACGGTTGCGATTCGCATAGACCGCGGGTCGCGGGCGTGATTACCCGTTGGGACATTTTGAGTGCCACCGTTGATTTTTAAATGGCCCTATTAGCTGTATCATGGTCTATGGGCACACACAAAAAAGTAAAACAAAAAAACAAATGCACCGGTCCTCCTCCCCATGCATATATGGCCCAGTTTTCGATGATACGTCATGTAAAAGGACTGATCAATGTTTTTGAGCAATCGGCGAAGAGTCAACGATTTTAAATTGCAATCAAAGAGACAAGCTGAATTGGAAAAAAAAACAAAAGCACTGATGTCATCAAGCGAAGTCTGATCAGAAGGGAAGGGAAGTAGGATGTCCTTAGTATTAACTTAACTATTCTGTGTTTGTTTGAAATGTTGTTCCCAGCGTGTCTATTACTTGTCGATGGAGTACATGCATGGACGCACACTGACCAACGCCATGATCAACCTGGGTATTCGCGATCAGTGCGACGAAGCAATGTACCAGGTACGGTGGGCGCATCTTGTTCAGATGCATTTCTAACTGTGTCATGCTGTTATACAGTCTTCTACTTTGAAGTAGCTTTTGAAGTAGCATTGTGTTTATGCGCTGTGCTAATCTATTGCTGAGGTCGAATTTGCCTCGCACTTGCTTGGTGTACTGGAAGATACGAGTAAGCCTTCAAATAAGCAGGACTGGTGTTGTAACTATTTTCGGCAGATTGTGATAACAGGGTTTGTTTCTTGGGCTGCATTGCAATGATTGTTCATGTCAGATGGGACTTGATCTGGAGGAACTTCAAGATCAGGAAGACGATGCCGGTCTAGGAAATGGCGGACTCGGACGATTGGCTTGTGAGTTTTTATTTCGGTTCACACGGTGGCTAGCTCTACTGCATACTTATATTGTGACCGTCGTGACTTTGTCTGGTTTGTCTAATCATTCCGCATCCTCTCATTGTCTCTTATTCATAGCCTCAGGACTATTGATCTGGATAACTTGAAAGCTGCGATGAACTTGGCCATTTGAAAAATATATGTTGGACTCAGTAGAGCGTCCAGCCCCTATATGATGTCCAACCCCTATATAGAGTCCATTGGTCCAAAATCCACTGTACAGAGTCCAAACTTGGAATCAACTGTGAGCTCAAAGTTTCGATGGACATCACTCCCTGTATAGAGTCCAGCCAATTGGCTTCACCCCTATATAGAGTCCATTGGTCCAAAATCAACTGTACGGAGTCCAAACTTTGAAATCAACTATAAAGAGTCTTTATGTGGACAACACGTATAAAGTCCAGCCAATTAGGCATCCCCTATCGAGTTCGAAAATAGACATAGGATCTGCTGTAAGCAGTGAATATTAACCAGAAAACGGCCTCTCCCTTTAATCCTTTACATCATTCACTTCTCAAGATAAAAAAATATGTATTGAGGCGCCACTGCAGCCACTTCATTACATGAAAAACCCTACAAACACCATCCTCAAATCAAGTGGTCTCTTCGCAGACGCTGCAAATTACAATATCTCAATCATGTAGTGTTGCCAAATTATTGTGCACGCACACACACATGCACACACCCACACACCGCCAAGAAAATACCTAGAAAAAAAACAAGAATCAAAAGAGAATAATGGAGAGCCCAGGATTAATTATTTGTTTTCAAATTATTGTGCGCGCGCGCACGCACACACACACACACACACACACACACACACACAAACTTATACAACGCCAAGAAAACACCAAGAAAAGAGTAGAGACACAATACACACGCAACTCCAACAGCCATGCAAACGTCCACCCATTTACATGTAAAGTCAAGAGGGATAACAAATTATTATACGAAACGAATGCGTACGGGGAAGGGTACACGCACGTTTACATACACGTAGTAGTGTAAGAGAGTAACATAGTGCAGTGGTCAGCATAATACTAGCACATGCTGAGACTGCAATAGCAAGCTTCACCATTGCTCATGGCCATGCAAATGTTCAGCAGCACTCAGTTCCGCAAGCTTCTGAAGATCAGCACACCTGCAACAAATAGATAGCACAAGGATACGCTTATTACCGTAATGATGCATGGGAGCACACAACTACCAAGTTCTCAACGAATGTGATGCTCAATGAAAATCAATCCACTCAAAGACCTGTGAACAGGTGATGGTGGAGACAATAATCTATTAGTAATACGAGGAATAAGATCGTTTGTGCACACTCAAGACGCACAGACACACCAACATGCATGTAGTGTACACAGTGTTTCACTTCACTGCAACTAAATTGAAATGAGATGATTTGAACAATCTGTACAGCGTTGCGGTCAGCCAGTCTTCCCCAAGATGGAAATGCAATGATTTGTTGTCACGAGGCAGTTTCACTGACACAATGTCATGTTCGTGACATCAAAACGGTTACTTCAGGGAATACGAGTATTAGCTTGAGAAGCTTTCTTGTCATTGGCATACAAGCAATCCTCCTAGTCCTACTACTACTAGTACACTGGCACTGCGTTTGTGGATCCCATTGTATTTGACATCATACTACAGGAAGAGTGTCGTGGAGTTCACATAATTATCACAGGGATAAAAATACATTTCTCATGAAATAAAATAATAATTGATGATAGCTAGACGGTCATTATACGATTGATGCAAAGTCCTTGCAGTCCTTGAGGACTATTACGAAGTGGTTGATTACTTTTAGGGCATTCATTCAAGCAACATCAAACAAACGCGATACGCTCCTTGAAAATGGAAAAAAATTCAAGCATAACGACAGAACAGCAGACCAATCGAAACGAGTAAAAGCTTCCTTACCTCAGTCATCGTCCTGCCATGTAGTTGGACAGCCTTTTGACACCGGTGGTACAGGCAGCTCTTGTCCAGTCAAACAGGGTATCCTTGTGGCATCGAACGAAAGAGAGTGTCAGTGTATCTGACTCGTCAGATTGCAACTGTGCTGAACTTTTCTCTTTCTCCGCTTTCTGCTTTCATCCCTCGCTCTGATGAAACCGTTCAAACGTCTTACTGGCAGCAATGGCCAGCCAAACAGGGGATCCTTGTGGCGTCGAACAAAAGAGAGCGTCAGTGTACCTGACTCGTCAGATTTGAACTGTGCTGAACTTTTCTCGTTCTGCAATTTCTGCTTTCATCCCGCGCACTGATGAAACGTCTTCAGAGAACCACAAGACGCTTTCCAGATTTGATTTTGAACGTCTCCTTATCCTCCTTGTTTAGCTCGAGACAGATTACTGTCAGCAACTGCACAGCAGAATTGGCAGCCATGGCTGAAGTGAAGAAAGGAATGCGCTGCCACGAGGCAAGCAAAACTGAAAAATGTGTTCCCTTTCGGGCACAACACACAGGACGGCGTGACAGGATAAACTGGACTCCTGGACCGTGAATAGGGGACTTGTAGAAAAAGTGTACTCCTTATAGGGGATTGCGCGGCAGGATGAAGCTGATCAAAACTGAGTGGACTCCTGGACTCTGTATAGTGGATTTTGGACCAATGGACTCTATATAGGGTGCTGGACATCATATAGTGCATGGACTCTATACTGAGTCCTACATATATACCGTAATTAATAAGAGCACAGTGTGTAGTGGAGGAATGTTCGAATGGCCATTGTTATGGATTGCGGTATTTTTGTGTGGATGTTTGCAGCATGCTTCTTGGACTCCATGGCTACTTTGGCTCTGCCGGCGTACGGCTACGGTATTCGCTACGAGTATGGCATCTTCCGGCAGCACGTCATCAACGATCGCCAGGTAGGTGTCGCCGATGTGTATGAGCTGCTCTGCATCATGCATACCGGTATGCTTCTGCTTTCTCTCTTTCTCTGACCAGTATTGATGTTGACCTGGGTTTGTTCCCCCTGATTCAAACTCTCTCTCTCTCTCTCTCTCTCTCTCTCTCTCTCTCTCTCTCTCTCTCTCTCTCTCTCTCTCTCTCTCTCTCTCTCTCTCTCTCTCTCTCTCTCTCTCTCTCTCTCTCTCTCTCTCTCTTTGCCAATCCTTTGCTGCTTCCTTCTCTCTGTGCATAGATGGAGTATCCCGATGACTGGTTGGCAAATGGCAACCCATGGGAGCAGCCCAGGCCAGAGTACCGTGTTACGGTCAACTTCTATGGTCGACCTGAGCCCGTCGACGAAGCCTGCCTAAATTGGAAGTGGGTGGACACTCAGGTATGTGTGCGGTGTAGTTTAGGGCCTTTCCTTTCCTGGAGTAATCCTTACTTCAAGTAGTTTGGGCGAAAGTGTGGGGATTGCATGATGATCCTGCTGCTGCTTTTGTTGTTGTTGTTGTTGTTGTTGTTGTTGTTGTTGTTGTTGTTGTTGTTGTTGTTGTTGTTGTTGTTGTTGTTGTTGTTGTTGTTGTTGTTGTTGTTGTTGTGGTGGTCGTCGCCGTCACCGTTGCTGTTGTTGCTGCGGTTGTGGTCGCTGCTGCTGCTACTGCTGTTATTGTCTTGTAATTCATTTCACCAAGTGAACGTGCTGATATGCCTTGTCACGAGATCTAGGTCCGGTCCCTCCTATATATACATGTAAATGATGAAGAAGCCCTCTCCTGGTATAGAGGAGCTGCAGCTGAATTTCTCTATACTGCAATGGCGATGAGGACCACTAACGAACACCCGGGTCGCAGAGTGTCATTTCCACTGTTATGCCCCTCGAAGGAACCACCTGAGCATGTACACAGCAGGTTGGCTCAGTCACGTTTGACTGGACTTCTGTGTGTGTGTGTGTGTGTGTATGTGTGTGTGTGTGTGTGTGTGTGTGTGTGTGTGTGTGTGTGTGTGTGTCGTGTTTTGCCTTCAGCCGGTTCTGGCCATGGCGTATGATTACCCCATACCTGGCTATGGCAATGGAGTGGTGAACACGATGCGACTGTGGTCCGCTAAGTCCCCTGTGGATTTCGATCTTTCCTATTGTAAGTCTAGTTTTCAAAAACAATGCAATGTTATGTATGTAGTGCTGTTTTCTCTGTTCTAAGTTGTCTTTAGCATGCATGGACTACGGAAATGATATTCCTATGGGGATACTTATGCATTTTGTTGTACTTATGGCCACTTGAAAGTACGAAAAACGCATTTTTCGTCACTTCGAGGCCCCATAAGTACAACAAAATGCATAAGTATCCCCCATAGGAATATCATTTCCGTAGTCCATGCATGCTAGAGAACAACTACTTACTTAGAACAGAGAAAACAGCACTTCTTCTGTAAAGGTTTTTTCACCTCCAAAGTGGTTTGAGCTACCTTAATGGTGTGCTGGCCTCTACACTTGTACAGTGAAGCCTATCTAAACCGTCTTTGCCATCACTTGCCCATACTTGTTGTGTGTTTCTGTGTTGTGGTCCTGTTTTTGCATGTAGTCAATCACGGTGACTACATCCAGGCCGTGTGCGATCGCAATCTTGCCGAGAACATCACGCGAGTGCTGTATCCGAATGACAATGTAAGCCAGTTGTGTCCTTGACTTGATCCGTCCTGGTGTTGGTTTGCCTTCTTGACGTGTGCAGGAAGCTGACCAGTCATTGAATTGTTGCTGTGACCATTCTGGGATTTCAGTTTGTTTTTGGTATAATGCTGAATTGTTTACATTCTTATTGTGCGGGTGTTTTACTTTGCATTTTCCACTGTCTGTTTGCTGTTTTGGTAGTTCTTCGAGGGCAAAGAGCTTCGTCTCAAGCAGGAATACTTTTTGGTGTCCGCATCGCTGCAAGACATTTTCCGACGCTTCAAGAAGCTGAAGGCCAAGGATGCAAGCATTGTCTCTCAGGAGCGACGGGACTTTGAAGAATTCCCCAAATTTGTGAGTGCTACCAAGAGTAGATAAACAAGAGTGTGCAACTCGCGGATGGGTTGGCCCACGGCGGAATTTTTTGTTGACGTAATCTTTTCGACGACGCACGCGCTATGAGTCTTTCGGAAAGTTTTCCCTCGTGCACTTGGCCGCATTTGCACTACAAAGTCGGTGCCCAGCACGTGCTCTCACACTGCTCTGCAGCAAAATGCGCATTCTTCTGAAAAAAGGTGACGTCAACAAAAAATTCCGCCGTGGGCGGGGGTATCTGCAGATTGTGCAGGAGAGATCCGGAGTTGCACACTCTTGTTTATCTACTCTTGGTGCTACTGTACTGGGTGTTTTTCTTGTGTCTGCCACTCACTACAATGCAGTCAAAAGTATGTGAGCTTCTGTATTTGTGCTATGAACCAGGGGCCATATGAAAATTTCTCAGTTTCTCTACACAGGTTCTCTGAGAGTGGGCTTGGATTGATTCTTTCACGTTCTTGACACTGTGGAGTAAGCCATAAGAAAGTTAGGATTTCAGTCCGGTTGTGTCAAGTTCAGTCAGGTTTAGCACTACCCAATGCAGGTCCCAAACTCAAAAACTAAACTGGAGCTCAGCTATTGAATACGTGGCCAGCTAGCGTACATGATCTCGACATCACACTATACGTGCACATGCAGTACATGACCATCGGGTATGAAAATAACATTGAATTATACCTCTTTTGTTCCCTTGCTCTTATCGAGCGAGTGAACCAAATTGAAATTAATAGTCAGTACAATGTATTTCTGTCAATGCTCCAATGTATGTGCAGCTGCCTCTGTTGTTTGCTGTAACTGGTGTTTTTTGCAAACTCCATTTTTATGCTGCACCCTCTTGTTTGAAAATTGTTCTTGCTAGGTCGCCATTCAGCTGAACGACACTCACCCGTCTCTTGCTGTTCCCGAGCTGATGCGCCTGCTCATGGATGAGGAGCACATTGGATGGGATCAGGTGAGGCAGTAGACACATACTCGAAGTATGCTTTAAAATATACTCAAAACCTGTCAGAGTTCCTCTCAGGAACGTAACTTACGCAGTGTATTCCAGTACTCGTCGAAGATGAGTACATGTACCTTGGCTAAGTTTTGCTTCTGTTCCCGGGTTGGCTTTTTTCTTCTTCTTCTTCAGGCTTGGTCGATTGTGACGCGCACTGTGGCCTACACAAACCACACACTCCTGCCCGAGGCGCTGGAGCGGTGGCCGGTCGAACTGCTGGACAAGCTGTTGCCACGTCATCTGATGATCATCTATGAGATCAACGCACGCCATTTGAAGGTATGTGTGCGAGTGTGTCTGGACGAGTGAGTGACGTGTGCGTGTGTGTCTTGACCAGTGAATGATGTGTTTGAGTGTGTCTTGACCAGTGAATGATGTGTTTGAGTGTGTCTTGACCAGTGAATGATGTGTTTGAGTGTGTCTTGACCAGTGAATGATGTGTTTGAGTGTGTCTTGACCAGTGAATGATGTGTTTGAGTGTGTCTTGACCAGTGAATGATGTGTTTGAGTGTGTCTTGACCAGTGAATGATGTGTTGTCATCGTCGTCGCTGCTGCTGCTGATGGTATCTTCGTCTGTATTGTTCTTTTGCTCACAGAGCGTTCAGCAGAAGTACCCTGACAATGTTGATATGATGCGGCGCCTGTCAATTGTTGAAGAGGACGGTGGCAAGCGCATCAACATGGCCTATCTCAGCATTGTAGCATCCCACGCTGTCAACGGTGTGGCTGCCATTCACTCCGAATTGCTCAAGGCCACTATGTAAGTATAGCTTACTAGTCTCCTCATAGGCCTCAGTGCTGCTGTTCGTTGAGTAGCTACTGATAGTTGGAACAGTAGAAATATTTTGTCTGCCCTGAGCACCGTTTGTTCCGGAGTATATTCCGCACTGGAGATAAGGCGTTCTCAAAAGACAGTCATATTCCCTGTTTATCACCGTGAATTTGACCATCGTAGTATAAGCAGCACCGACTTTCTTTGGGTGAATGACTGGTGTTTAAAGTGCGGCGTATATACTCTGGAAAATATCGTAAGCGTTCCGCAGTACTCTTTGGCACAGTTTGTGGGGTTTGTGCATGCTAATGCGATTACATGTTTTGTATGGAGTAGCGTCACAGGCACTGGTTTGCCACTCAATACAAAACGGATACGCTGATGCCATCTACGGTGAAACGGTTCTGTGCTTTTCTGTGTTGTCGTCGAATGTTTGCTTTGCCAGGTTCAAGGACTTCTTTGAGTTGTCGCCCGAGAAGTTCCAGAACAAGACAAATGGCATCACTCCGCGCCGCTGGCTGCTGCTGTGCAATCCATCCCTGTCGGACCTTATCTCAACGGTGAGTATGCCGCCGTGATGCGCTCAGGCTCCCACAGGGTATTCATGCATTGTTGCACTATTCTCTTCACAGCTATTTTTTAATCATACATGACTATATGTACATGTAGATGTCCACGGCTGAAGACCTAGCTCCCCATGGACATAACAGCACGACATGGCCATGATTTTTGAATGATGCTTCCAGGAACTTGTGGAGCAAAAGTAGAACTTTAGATGTTGCATATACAAGAATTGTAGGAAATATTATAACTGTTGATCAGCCAACATGGGAACCACTCTCAGCAGTAAGCGGCGTACGTACGCCCTTGATTTCTTCAAAATTCTGTCTGTGGCATTGCAATACTTTGCTCTCTGTTTACATTGTTTGTCTCTGTCACGTTCTCTTCATGTCTGGATAGAAAATTGGCAGTGACTGGGTGACTGACTTGTTTCAGCTGAAGAAGCTGACAGACTTGGCTGAAAACAAGACCTTTGTCCAAGCGGTTGCTGATTCTAAAGCCGTAAGATTAAGAAAATGTTGGGTTTGTTATTGGCTGGTGAAACTTGTTTTTGTCCAAGGTAATCGCCCACCTAGATTTCTCATTACTGAGTGGAGATCATGGTGTATAGTGCATCAAGTGCGGCCTGATAGTTTGATGAACTTGTGAAGCTGGATTGTGTGTGTGTGTGTGGAGGGGGGGGGGGGGGGGGGGTTAAAAGAATTTTGAGAACCTGATTCAGGGCGTATGGCAAGACTCTGCAACAACAAGATTCAGCATGGCTATGCCAAGTCTCATTCAGTATCTACCTTGCAAAGTATCCGGAGAGAAAACCAGGACAGTTAATCATGTGTCTTTTTGTTTGTGCATTTACTGAGACAATTGTTTCTTTTCCAGTATTGTGCATTTGTTATGTGGATGTCGTAGAATCCCGTAGATAAGCCCCCGAGCTTATCTGTTTCACAAGGACATTTCGGTGGGCTTATACAAGAACATGGGCTTATATGCGGACACGGGCTTATACGCCGACACCAAAATTGTGCTATTGAAAAGTACCCTACTTTGCGGAAAATCACTGTGCAAACAAAAACAACCGATGATTGTGTTGAAATGTACCAAAAAACAAACAAACAAAAACGTACATGGTACGACCTAGCTAGGCCCATGGGCTTGTAGAACGAAGCTTCGCGATGCTCGAACTTGGCCTGGGCTAATGCGCGAGCATGGGCTTTTACACGCGGGTGAGCTTATCCGCGGGATTCTACGGTATCTCGAAATTTTAAAGTGGTTTTCTGTGTGCTCTTTGCTATGTTTGTGTGCGTGTGTATACCGTGTGTAGGACAACAAGCGCCGTCTTGCTTCCTACATTGAGAAGAACCATGGCGTGAAGGTGCCAATCGATTCTCTCTTTGATGTTCAAGTGAAGCGTATTCACGAGTACAAGCGCCAGCTGATGAACGCTCTGCATATCATTACACTCTACAACCGTGAGTCAATGCTGGGGTAACCTACTTTTTTTTTAGGGAAGGTCAAAGCAATTTTATTTTTTTATTAGCAGTGTCCTATTGCCAAGAGAGCGTTGAAAACCAGTGTTGCGACTCTAAAGGATTGTTGTATCGGAGAATTTCTTGGATTGCATCATTTTGCCGATGCAGTGCATACAAACAGGATTCAACCAGGTATCCCGCTGCAGAGCTCGATCGTACACACTAGGCTGCTTCCCGTCGCTAATCTCCCTCGACTATTATGTATGCCAGGAATTTTACTTTGACAGATACCCAATCCGAAGAGGTGCACCCTGCTCTTCAAGTACTCCTATACTGCTTTGCCCTCGTACTGTCGGTAGTAGGGGCAGAGCGCCAGACACATATGGGCCTGCACTCTTCCACTTTGAGCCTTGTGTCTTGTGCTTTAGGCTTTAGCCCTGCACATGTAATGTGCTCCTGGTTGTGCATGTGTGTGCGTTTTGCCTGTGGATTCTGTTTCCAGAGTTGAAGGACAACCCAGAGATGGACTTCACGCCTCGTGTTGTCATGATCGGCGGAAAGGTATGTTTGCATGCTTGCAGTCCCATGTACCGTAAAGTACCGCGAGAGCGCCCCGTCTCGCGAGAACCCCCCCCCCCCCCCCCCACCCCCGCCTTGATTTTACAGCCAAGGGAAGAAAGTCGTATGGCAGAGTGCTACTAAGTTTGTACGGTGTGAGAACCTTAGTATACTAAGATCACACTTGGCATGCTTTTATGTGGAGCTCGCATCCGCTCGAAGGTGGTAAACTGGGTACAGATTGATTACACAACGTTCAATGTGTGTACAAGGTCCATGTCGTATGACCTACAGACAGGAAACCACCTCCACAAGACGACCACGAAAGGACGAGATGGTGGGGCGCTATCGCGGTACTTTATGGTATAATAATGCGCTGAAGTCGTTTTTCTAATGTACTGGATCTTGTGTTTCATTCTTTGAGCTGCACTACCTGCCTGTACCCAATCCCCACCCCCCCCCCCCCCACCCCACTTTGAAAAGTAGCACTGTTTTGTTAGCCCATATTGATACAAGAACCGTGTTTATGTGCATTTGCTTTGTTGCTGTTCGCTTCTTGTTTGGTCAGGCTGCACCTGGTTACCACATGGCCAAGGACATCATTCATTTGATCTGCCGCATCTCCAAGGGTGAGCTTATGTTTTTTGTTCACGCTAACTTTAGGTGTTGTTCAGCTATTTGCACCGCTGCTACAGCTACATGACATTGTATTGGCAAGGGTACGTAACCCCGCACCCCGCACCCCTTGGTATTGGTATTGCTGATGACCTTACCTAGCTGACACTAGTGTGTGGGCGGGCTCATACGCCTATCTCAATCTGTATTCCAATTCGTACTTTTCTCATCCCGCTCTGTTGCCATTCTGTCACAGTGATCAATTCGGATCCCATCGTTGGAGACAGGCTCAAGGTGATCTATCTGGAGAACTATCGCGTCAGCTTTGCTGAGAAAGGTTAGACAAAGCCTCTCTTATTAAAAGTTTTGACCTTGTATGTGCGATATTGAGAGTGTGTATAGCCCCAGGAGTGTGCAACTGCAGATATGCATCTGTGATGGCAGAACTTTACCTCTGTAACAAATCAGTGCGATCCCGTGGTTCCCAACTTTCTGCTTGTACACGGCCCATGGTCATTGCTTTCTTGGCTCACATGGTGTGAAGCTCTGCCATCACAACTCTGGGTAGAGATTTACTAGGGAATGTGCCAGCAGTTGCACACTCTTGGGAGTGATGTGCTCTTTGTGAGACACTTGTATGTGAACAGTGTGTTGTAGTCAGTAGTGTATGTTTTTCAAAAAGACTGTCATGTTAACTTCTCAAGTAGCGTGAGTGAATTCTATGTTCAATTTTGCAGCCGAGTTAAGTTTGTGGGCATGCTGGTCAGTAGCGTAATATTAGGATAGTTACATAGTTGCGAGACAGAGGGGGGAGCTGTGTTTGCGACTCTGGGTTTCACGTTCAATCACAACTGGTGCTCTTTCTCTCTGCTGCTGTGTGGGAAACTCTGCCGTATATGGGCATTGAGCACTCCTCGGAATTTGGAGCACCCTACTTGATTACGAGGTGGATGCTTACCTTTATTTACCTTCCTGTTAATGTGTGTGCGTGCCTGCGTGGGTGGGTGCCTGTGTGTACGCGTGTCTGTACGTATACAGTTATTCCAGCCACCGATCTCTCTGAACAGGTGAGCGTCACTGGATTCTCGTTTGTTTGTTGTTGTTGTTGTTGTTGTTGTTGTTGTTGATGTTGATGTTGTTGTTGTTGTTGTTGTTGTTGTTGTTGTTGTTGTTGTTGTTGTAGTAGTGATTACATGTTGTTTGGTGCAATGACGGCAGGTTCGCTTATTATGTGCCAAGATGAGTAGGTGTGCTAGTTACAGTGCTGGCACCTCTTGGTCACACGATTTCTAGATTTCTTTTACGGAGAATCCTGAAGCAAGGAGACAAGAGAGTTCATAATAGCTTTATCACCAATGTCAGTTCCTGTTGTAGACAAGTATTTGTTGGTTTTGTTTTCTGGTGCTTATTTCAGATCTCACTTGCCAGCACAGAGGCGTCGGGTACTGGAAACATGAAATTCATGGTTAGTTATTGCCAGCTGTTGTCATGTATTGGGTCAAGTTTCTTTGTGATGACCGAGAAGGCATTGTTTTCCTGTCTGAATCCATCTGTAGAATGGGCTATTTATGTATTTTCTTATTTTCCGTCAACTCCAACGCAGCCACCTACACATGTGTAGAACTTCACTCCGCCAACTAGAATATCGGTCTCTTTACTGCGAATCTATTCATATTCATTATTTGTACATGTTTATTTCTTCATCATTCTGACCTTTCCTGCAAGAGTGCCTTTGCAGCTAATGTACTGTTCTCCTTCTCCTTGCTTGCTGTGTGTTCAGGCTAACGGTGCGCTGACTATCGGCACCCTGGACGGTGCTAACGTGGAGATGCGAGAGGAGATGGGCGCGGAGAACATCTTCGTCTTTGGCATGACTGTGGACGACGTCACTGCATTGCGCAAGAAGGGGTGAGTCATTGACGTCGAGATTTTAGATCCACTGCAGCGGATGTGCTTTTGTATGGACATGTTTATCCTGTAGCCCTGAGTCCACTGTTTTGCATGGACCACATGACTTAATTGTATATCCGGCATAGAGATTATATTGCACTCAGGTGTGCTTTGCATGTACTTATAGCATGTGCACGGATTTGCAAGGTACCAAAATTTTATGTTGGTGACGGTGTAGAAATCCGTGCATCAAAGCGGGGAAATGTGGACCGTTTTTGGCAGGGTACTCCGACAGTTCTGTTGGGGAATCATGCTGGCTGACTCATTTCTTTTCGTTGCTCGTGTTGTTTGTGTTTTTGTCATGCAGTTATACACCACGCGAGTATTACGAGTCTCTTCCTGTGCTGAAGCGTGTCTTGGACCAAGTGCGATCTGGTGAATTCAGTCAGCCCGGCGAGGAGACCGAGTTCCACGGTCTCGTGGACAACCTGCTGAACCATGACAGGTGCGGGCAGTTTTTTTTACAATACTGTATTATGCTTGTCCTTCACTTAGAGAGGCAGCACACTCTTACCGCAGTTTCCGGACCCCGAAGTTACGGGCACTTCGGTCTACCGGACATCCTTTGGTCGAGTTTTAGTGGAAAATTGGACGTATTACTACTTGTACTTTTTGTTGCTTTTAGTGGAAATTGTGACATCGCATGCCACATCTCTGGCCTTACCCCTTCGAAACGTATGTGATTCCAAGTTACGGACATTTCAAAGTTACGGGCAGCGCCCGGTCCGGGACCGCGCGGCGGGTAAACAAGGTATGGCGTAAAAACAAGTGATGTATGCGTCGTTTTCCCCGAATTAAAGTGTTGCAGCGCAAGTCCACTGCATGCAACCGTACCCACTGTGGTACCAGCTAGCTCTTCATGAAAGGTCATGAACTGTGTTCAGTCATACTCACACATGTACTAGAGCTGGTTGTACTTGCCCAGTATGAGACAGGTTACCACGCAAAAAGGTGACAACCATATTTGATGCGCCCCTCCCATACGGCCGTGGGGTAAAGGACATACAACTTTCTTTTTCTGTTTTGCATTGCCGGATACTAGTTGTTCCCTGTACTTCTTCAAGGGAACGCAGACTTTCAGATTTGATTACCGCTTTCTCTCCTGTGGTTTCCATGTAGATTTTTTTACAGCGATAACCTATTTGAGTCGCTGAATCCAGTTTCTAATTCCAATAATGTATCCAATGAAGTTTAAACGCATTACTGCTACCTTTCACGTTCACTGGATACTGGATCATCAATGCCTCCCAGGTACTTTCACTGGTATGACTTTGCTTTGCGATTTCATTATTTCCTCTGTCTTTTCCTCATCTTATTTTGCCACTTAGATTCTGTCTCCTGGCTGATTTTGAAGCATATATCAAGTGCCAGGAGGAAGTTTCTGCTTTGTACAAGGTGAGGTGAAAATGTGTTTTTAAAATAATTCAAATAGAAACCATCATCTTTCAGCTGAGTTTACCTGTCTCTATAGAGGTGTTCAGGAGACGTGAAAAAAACACTAGCTCAAAAATCAGTCCTCCTTCTACCATCAGTGTTACTGTATGCTGCATGTCACCTGACTGTTGCTAGGTCAACAGCCAATCAGCACCCTTCCACAGCTGGCACTGCTCCACAATATTGACCGGTCTATGATCTCCAGACATTGTCACACTGCAGTGCATTGTGCCCCAGTACTTGGACTTCAGCATATCTCGCTAACTTGATCTATTGATGAGCATGGAACTTACGATCCTGAATTTTGCACCTCTGTCCCCTGCCACCCTGGCACTGTGCTGTTGATGCTGAAACTGGTTGAAACCTAGCTTGATCCGAATGCGACCTGGATCATAGTGTGAAGGATATTGAAGCCTGAGAATGATGAGCAAATAAACTAAAGCTTCTGCTGGTCCCATGTGTAACTGATGCGGAATGGGCTGAAGGGCTTCTTGGTGATGTGACTTGATCTGCTGCAGTCGATGATGTTATCATTGCACTGTGTGTTAAACTTGTGTTTCTTATTTCTACCAAACTGTTGTGCATGCTGTAGGATCAACCTGCTTGGCATCGCAAGGCCGTACTGAACATTGCCTCATCCGGCAAGTTCTCCAGCGACCGCACGATCAGCGAGTACGCACGCGACATCTGGGACGTGCAGCCGTTCGAAATGCCAGTCCCCGCCGCCAACCAAGCACCCACGGATGTTTAGTGCGATTCGCGGCTAACACTGATCGTGTCCTTTCCTCACCCGAGACATACCTAACCGACCTACCTGCACCGGCCATATACCATGATTCAGCCTCAAGCTCATATTCTCCATTCTTGTATGACTCAGTTTTTAATTTCTCACCAGTGTTGCTCGTGATTGCTTGTAATAAATCAAGTATCCAGTCTTTTTCATCTCCCTGTTTTATTCTCTGTGTTCCGTGTGTATCCCCTCCTTACCAATTTAATGTTTGTTATCTATTTTCGCCATTAGCCGGACCCCAGATTCCTGGGAGAATTCCGTCACCCTAGAGCCGGGTGTTTTGTATTGTATTATGTATTCAACAATAGATTCAAGCCTCTTGCTTGCTCTTGTTTTTAGTGATCTGATTTCGACTCTAGCCCCTGGTACTCACCCCTATGCTGTCTTTACTCATTTGGCTAGTTAACCGTTCGTATACTAGCACTCTGAATTGCATTGGACACTGGACGGTGATGTTGAATTTGCTTACAGTGTGGATTGTGGATTGCACCTGACCAATTTTCACGTCAATGGAATGATCCCATCTGCTGTGCTTTTCGTAACATATGCTGCTGCTAGTATACAAGAGTACTGAGGTGGGTAGGGTTTTTTTATGCTGGTTGGCGCGATTGTGACTCGTACTCGCCCAGGGTTTGAGTGCATAGTTTTCTGTACCATTGTGTGTGATGTGCTGTCATCACTTGCCTGCACCATTGTGCCCTGTGCATGCACTGGTGGGAAAGCTTCAGACAGGGTATGCCAGTGCTAAGTGTCTCTCTCTAGCTCTTGTCTGGAAGCTGAAGTGCTTGTGTCTGTGCATGGCCAGGCAGCACTTCAAGTTAGGCACTTTGCTACTCTTCTCTTCTCTCTCTTGACTTTAGTAACACATTTGTTGGAGCCGGGTACATGCACCAAGACTGGCAATAGTTTATGGACTGTTAATGTTGTACAGTCTGTATTAAAGTGTAGATCTACACTACAGTAGGGAGATGAATAAAGTCAATAAAACCCTGGGAAAGGAGATTGACAGTAGACCTGATAAATAATTATAGGGTTTACACTGTTTATAGTGTTTATTACTCCATATGGCCGCTCCTTGCATGACGCCATGAGTCTACAAATTTTTGTAGCTGCAAGTAGATCTAGTACCGTACGTCACGTGTGCTGCTCATGGCACGTGCACATGCACTACATGGCGACGTCACGAATACATCCCGGGGATATCGGGAGAGATCAAAAATTTCTTTCAAAGCAGTCTTGTTTTGGGAGACAGGCTACACACATTATGTGTAGGCACCTACTGTACATGTTTGATCGATCTGGTCTTGTTGCAGTTTGAGTGCTTTTATCGTGGCACTCTTTCTTTCTGGAGGACGATCGCAGTTCCCCTTTTTGTTGTTGTGAAATTTGCAGCGTCGTAGACTGGAATATTATACACCATGGCTGAGTAAGGACTTCGCCTGGAGTGGTGATTTCTTCTGGCTTCTTCTAAAATACCATTGCAACTCTGTTTGCGTCTGTTTATGGCAGGGCTGATATTGCTCTCATTGGTTTGGCTGTCATGGTAAGCAACTATTACTTACTGCAGTGCCTTCATTCAGAGCTCCGTGAATTTGTTTTCTTTCATCGGGTACGGTAGCGATGTGGTATTCTTGTGTGTCTGTGTTGTCGGCTACAGGGCCAGAACCTGATCCTGAACATGAATGACCATGGCTTTGTGGTGAGTTCGAGTAGATCTACCGACTCTCGGATTTGAAATTTTTGATTTGTTTGTACGAGCACAATTTACTGCAGTTTTTTGGTTTCACTTTGTGTTGTCCTGCTGTTCACCGGCACAGGAATGAGCATGTAGCTGAAGCGTTGTCGTGGGTGGTTGTGTGATACATGTATTTCCGATAGGTCCCGTTGTCGGAGTATGTTTCGATTTTCTCCGTTTTCACCGATTATTTGACAGACGAAAGCTGCAGCGTCGCATTCAACCGCTGTTGTACTTTTTTGGTAGAAGACGATTGTTTCCGCAGTAGGCATAGTTGATCGAGTTTTTTGTACACGTATTGTACTGCTTGTTGCCTTTCCGCACGTCTTTCCTGCAAACCGGAAGACCATTCACTGGCTCGTGCAATAGGAGGAGCCGGTTGTGCTAAGTGCCTCTCAGGCTTGGTATGAGGCATGCAGAGCAATGCGAGTGTCGTTCAAAGTGCGCTCTGTCGGAAACTTCATAGCCACTGTTCGCATCATCGGCGTTCTCCTCGTTGAGTCTTATCAGCTGTTATGTGTAGAAATGAATGATAATGAAGAAGAGCTTTCCAGTTTGGTTTTATTTGGCAAGAGTAACTCTGTGTTTCTTTTACCTGGCCACATCCAGAAGTTAGTTTGTAGTCTGTAGATATGTGCGTGTGTTGCAACTATTTTTTTGGAACTGGAGACTGGAGTCCTCAACTGACCTCGTTCGCAGTGCACGTGGTCTTGGCGTGTTGGACATGTCTACCGCACTACACACGTCGTTTTGTAAAAAATCTTTTCTGTAGACTGAGGTTTTGGATGATGTTGACATCAGTTCTGGGTGTGTGCTGCCTGTTGAGTGTTGTGTTGGCTGGGTGTGCACTCCCAGTGCATTACCTTGGTTATCTCTTTCTGGGACAGGGGACGTCCATGTACATCATCATTCAGTACTACTTCAGTGGACTGATGGGCACTGATGGCATGTAGCATGACACCATGCCTCCTCTTGACAGCCAGGCTGCAAGCTATGATAACACTTCACAAACACACCACTTCAGTACTGGTCCAGAGCTCCAGGAATTTCGTGGGCCAGTCTAAAAATTAATCTGGTACATTCTGGAAAAGATAACATCCTAAGTCCGGTGCACACCACACGCTAATGTACAACATGGCCTGAGACATGTGTTTTAGGTGTGCATCCATCCAGCAGGCAATGATGTTGCCAGCTCACTGCAAGCCCCTTGGCCTGGGTGCATGTAGAGGGTGCAATGGAGCATGAGAGTAATGTCGGGGTGTTATTGAGAGCATGCTGTGCTTTGTGAGTGAATCACCAGACTCCCGTGATGTCGATGCATCTTTGGAATTCTAGATGTTGATTTCTTTGCAAGAGCAATGTGAAGAGTAGTGTGGATTATGCACTCATTATTTATACTAGTGTTAAATGCAATGTTTATTTCCAGGCGTATCCTGGCAGTGTTTGTTTTCCAAATTAGTGATACTAGTGGTCTACAACTAATGATACTGAACTAGAACAACGGAAAGATTCATCAAGAGACATCAGCGGACCGAACATTAGTGTTGCACAATATTACGCGCAACTGTGTTATTATTATTATTATTATTATTATTTAGTGTGTGAAGTCGTGCTATGGATGGTTTCAGGCGGCAGAACCTTTGCTCCTACACGAGTCCTACCGCTAGGGCCTAGTACTTGTAAGTTGATGGCGTTTTGTTCTTCCCTTGACGTTGCCATATTATGTGGTGTGATGGTGCTCCATGTACGTAGGTCTGTGCGTACAACCGCACTGTGGAGAAGGTTGACAGCTTCTTGGCCAACGAAGCCAAGGGTAAGTCAGTAGTGTGAATCTTGAATCCACACAGAGCTGGCCAGTGCAGTACAGTACCCGCTCCAGCCCTGGATATTATAATGCTGTGGTAGAGACTGCGCTGAGCCGGGTGTTCCTAGTGCTTGGGCAGTGCCTGGTGCTATTGTATTCATGAGGAGTTTTTCATTATCCAGCACTGAACTGTCCAGTTTGAGCATGGTGTAGCTATGTAAGGCAATAAACAGGCACGCGTGTAATAGCCTTGTTTTCTTCGGCCTATGCTCACTTTAGTGGTGGATCTGCCCTGCTCGCCCTCTGTCGCTGTTAGGCTATACTAGTATCGAATGCCTTTGATCCACGGTGGTAGTGATGTACTACGGATGCAGAAAAGCCAGCTTGTTTAAAATACGAGTTGGTCGGGTATATTGCAGGGGGGGGGGGGGGGTACTCATGCTGTTCTTAATGTTGGACACGGCGATAGCTGCGCGGCACAAACTTACAGCAGAACCTGCACACACCGCTCAATCAAGGGCACCTCCACATTCATTCCGCGTTCGTAGTTGACAACTTCAGCATCCATGTTCTATGGCAATAGCTTGCTGTGTTGTTCAAAGCTGCCCTTGTCTTCTGGCTGTGCTGATCTTTCTTGCCACCGCCTATGCTGCTACTCTGCAGGCACGAAAGTCATCGGTGCCAAGTCCCTGGAGGATATGGTTGCCAAGCTGAAGAAGCCACGCCGTGTTATGCTTCTCGTCAAGGCAGGCGCAGCTGTTGATGCTTTCGTTGACAAGCTGGTGAGTACACACAATTCGATACTGAGCAGTTGCTCCTCTCAAACTGTGATCTGCTGTGATCAATTTTTCCTGTGGTTGGCCTGGTAGTTAGAGACAGAATGCTTGAAGCCTGGTTCTGCGAATCGCCTGGCAAATAGTTATCAATAAGGCAACTTGGACTGGTCGTTCCAGTGGAGTGGAATGTGTTGGTGCTGTCCTTGGTTCGTATTGGAATTGATACACTGGTGTGTGTGTGTGGGGGGGGGGGGGTATTTGGATAATGCCTTTTCCCTACAGTGGCTACTGGGGGTATGATCTCACTCTGGTGAATTTCCAGCACTTTTCTGGCAGGTGGACTCCTGAATCCTTGCAATAGTACTCATAACATCACTGTGTGCGCTTCACGCTTGCATTTGGGTCATTTTTGTTGTTGCTGTGGTTCATTTGTTGATGTGCGTCATCAGATGCCTCTCTTGGAGGCTGGCGATATTATCATTGACGGTGGTAACTCGCAGTACCAAGACACACAGCGCCGCTGCAAGACCACTCTGGAGAAGGGTGTCATGTTCTGCGGGTGCGGCGTGTCTGGAGGCGAGGACGGTGCTCGCTACGGTCCATCTCTCATGCCCGGCGGAAACCCAGACGCCTGGCCCCATCTCAAGCCAATCTTCCAGGTGAGCAGTGCTGGGTAATGTTTATTGAGGCCTGTTGGTCTCTCAAGAGCCTTCCGGGATCTCCTCACGCATCCTTTGTTATCGCCTTATTGGTATTGATTACTATTGAATATGGTATTCTGAGAATGCACGGTTTGTGGTGTAAACTTTTGACTGGTTGTGTTTGCTGTGGATATTGTTGTGTTTTCTTGTGTGTTCTTCTAGGGCATTGCAGCTAAGTCTAATGATGAGCCATGCTGTGACTGGGTCGGTGAGGACGGCTCTGGCCACTTTGTCAAGATGGTACACAATGGTATTGAGTACGGAGACATGCAGCTCATCTGCGAAGCCTACCAGCTCATGCACGAGGGCATGGGAATGTCCTGCGATGAGATCGGCGATGTAAGTGCTGCAGCTGCTGTGTGTGTGTGCGTGCATGTGTGTGCGTGGGTGTGGGTGTGTGCGCGCGTGGGTGTGCGTGTGTGTGTGTTCATTGACTTCAGTGGGTGTGTGTTGTGTTTCAAGGATACTTGTATTATGGTGTAAGGAATGGATGTTAAAGTTGGACAAGGAGATCTGACACCGTTTAGTTTACCGCTGTCCGCTGATTATGATCTTTCCTGGCTGATCTTGCCAGGTGTGTTTCATGTTGATATTCCTGTTGCAGTTTGTCAACACACTGCGTGATTATGCATGTGGTCTCCTTTACATCACGTGGGTATCACAGGGGTATCATGCTAATGATGTTGATGTCACTCTGTACCTGCAGGTGTTCGAGGAGTGGAACAAGGGCGAGCTCGACTCATTCTTGATTGAGATCTCGCGTGACATCATGCGCTTCAAGGACACCGATGGCAAGCCACTCGTTGAGAAGATCCGCGATGCCGCTGGCCAGAAGGGAACCGGCAAGTGGACGGCAATCTCAGCACTCGACTACGGCACACCCGTCACGCTGATCGGAGAGTCTGTCTTTGCTCGCTGCTTGTCCTCACTCAAGGTAGGTGTGTGTGTGTGGAAGTGTAGTCTTCTACATAAAAGCACATTGGCTCTTGCCTCCAACGCTTGTGTCTTCTGTAAGATATGCGCCTAGGCGTGCGTTGTCAAACTGTGCACAGCGAAATTTATTAAAGGAGCCTAAAAAATGAAGGACCTTTGGCAAGCTTGTCTTCCAATCAGAGGATGTCAATGCGCCATCCTTGATCATTTTTTAGCACGTATGTTCGTTGGCATCATTCATTTGTTTGATGACGAAGGTTGCGTCGTACCTGGTACACTGCGGTAGCTTGAAGGTCTAGATAAAAGAGATGTTGATGCAGTGGTACATGTACACTAAAACCTGTCAAGGCAACCACTCGGATAAGGCGACCACCTGTCCTAGAAGACCACTGAAACCAGGACCGATGGATGCTATTTCCAGTCAAATGACCCTGGATAAGGAGACCACGTTTTGAAGGTCCCTGGAGCGGTTGTCTTAGAGAGGTTTCACTGTAGTAATAATTACTTCTTGAAGTGCTACTACCGTAATAGCAGTAGTGCGGAATGGATTGTAAGTACTTGTTTTGCAACGCATGTCATTTAGACGGGCAAACTGTGGGTTCTGCTACCCTCACCCAGTATGCATCGTCTGGTTGTTGTTCCATCAACAGCAATGTAAACCATCTTTCTTGTCGTGCGTTTTATGCAGGATGAGCGTGTCCGTGCCAGCTCCGAACTCCAAGGACCTGGAGATGTGAAGTACACCGGAGATAAGAAGGAGTTCATCGAGAACATCCGCCAGGCTCTCTATGCCAGCAAGATCGTCTCCTACGCCCAGGGCTTCATGCTTCTGCGCGAGGCCGCCAAGGAATTCGGATGGAAGCTGAACTATGGTGGCATTGCTCTGATGTGGCGCGGTGGATGCATCATCCGCAGGTACGGTGCATACAACAGAGCAGACTGCTCCAGTCCTGTGGCCGTGCTTGCCGGTCCTGGAGCAGAGCTTCAGTACTAATAATTGTCCAATGCGCACAGTGGCTAACAAGGCTATTGCTAGCTATTAGTAATTTGCTTCAGCTCGAGAGTTTCGTAGCTAAACCAATTGTCAGGCAGTGAAGGGATAGATTGGTGCAATATCTATGAATTCTCTGTGGTAATTCTCTCCATGTTGTAGAAGAGACAGCAGGTTTGTGCAACCGAAGCCTTTAGACGCTGGCCTGCAATGTCTACTTTTTTTGACGTTTTTGCACAGATTCTCCAGGCGCCATCCCTGATTTTATTTGTTTACAATTTTGTCACATTTTTGCTTGCTTTCTTGTTTTTCCTTCTTCTGCCATTCAGTGTGTTCCTTGGCAACATCAAGGCTGCGTTTGAGAAGAACCCTGAGCTCCAGATCCTGCTCCTGGACCAGTTCTTCAAGGATGCCATCCACAGATGTCAGGTATGTTTCCGCTGGCTTTGGGTTCTGCCGTTGTGTTGAATGTCCATGTACGATTGGAATCGTTGCAATGGGAAAGAATGTAGTGTGTGCGAGGTGTTAGTTAGCATCCGTACAATTTATGATTTATGCACTCCAGTTATAGCTCCATCCATTGGGCGTATGCTCCGCATCCGTAGATTATTGTATTCTGCTGACTTTCTTTCATCCTTTGTGTGTTGTTCAGGTATCATGGCGCAAGGTTGTTGCCCAGGCTGTAATGATGGGCATTCCAACACCATGCTTCAGCACTGCACTTGCTTTCTACGATGGATACCGGTAAGTGCGAATGATGACGGGGAATGAGGATAGCTCAATTTCATAGCCTTGGGATCTCCTTGTTGTCGTTTGGGACTTATCAATTCCACCCCTGAGTATATTGAGTTTGCATGGTGCTTAGAGGACTTGTTGGCACCGTTGGCATGTCGTCTCAATTGTAGGGTATAGTAATTTTTGATTGAATCTCTTGAATATGTGGACAGGCTGACATTTGACAAGCGCTTTGTGTTATTTTTGCTGTTGTTTCTATGATGTGCGTGGTGTAGATCTGCACGCGTGCCCGCCAATCTCATCCAGGCCCAGCGCGACTATTTCGGCGCTCACACGTACGAGCTGCTCAGCGAGCCCGGCAAGCACATTCACACCAACTGGACGGGACATGGCGGCAATGTGTCCAGCAGCACCTACTCTGCTTAGGAAGGGTCTGCTGTCGTGTTGCCCTATTGTCCTTGACCTAAAGCAGTAAACAGTTAGCGACAAGCGCACCCACTGAAACCTCATGTAGACGACAAAGTGGCTGATGAAGTCTGTCTGAAGCCTCGGGCCCCCACCACTGTGCTGTAGTGAATTCCGCACGTAGCTTGCAGGGTTTGGGCATTGACTGAGGTGCTGTGCAAGACCCACTGCTTAGTTTTGTTGCACCTAACTTTTCTTCAAGTTTCCACCTGCCGCTCTATTTTCTGTCCTCTCTCGTTAGATATTGCCCCAATTTAGGTGTCATTTTAGGCTTGTAGGTAAAACCATTGCTTCATTTTTACATCCTTTTTAGATGAATTGCACCCGCAGTTTGCATCACAGTTTGGCTATTCTATTTTTTCTTCATTGCAAACTAGTGGCGATTTGCCATTGTAGCGGAATGGAAGGAGTGAAAAATAATGCCTATGCTACATGACAACTAGCATTGTGCTATGTTGCCAGCAACACAATCATCATAGTTTGGTGAGCACAGCTTAGTCAATTTTCTGTTGAAAGAAGAGATGACGGGTGAACGGATATTGAAAATGTTCGGATGGGATTGCTCAAGGACTGAGAGCTGGATACCTACTACTATTCATTAGCTCAAGAAGTCGAACATTTATTGACACAACACCGTGAGGATGGGGCACAGGTCATCACTCAGACTTTTTTTCTTCGCGATGCGGCAGTTATTTGGAAAGCACACTATCATTCTGTCCCCGGGGAAAATTGCGATTCCGCGGCCTCGTTTTTTCCCGCGTTTTTTGCGATTATTTAAAAGACCGCGTTTTCCGCGATTTTCCCCGCGTTTTTTGAACTTTTTTGTTGCACTACACGTACACACAGTGCACTGTTCGGTCAGCAACGTCTCATCGTGGCGGCTTTTTACTCAAATATGACGAGTGCTTACACCAGAGACTTGTAACTTATTGATTTCACTACATACTCACTGCATATTTACCGCAAATTATGCCATATTATGCCTCGTTTTCCCCGCGCTTTTTGCGATTTTTTTCCGCAATTTTCCCCGGGGACAGATCATTGCATGCAGATGCCTTTTTTTCATCTTTGTAGCGTGCATGCAGGCAGGGAATCACCTTTGATTATAGGTCACAGCCAGGGAGTAGTACAATATTGTACTACTCCCTGGTCACAAGAAATGCATTTTATCTACAGACTACACCCCATTCTATCCGGGTTTCATATCGTCAACCCCAGAGCAGAGCTGAGGGCGCTCCACCAAGGAAAACCGAGCAGTGGGGAATGGGAAGTTGTACTGATTTATCACTGACAACAAGTCAGACAGAAACCTTTTACCGTATTCTCGCGCATTTAGGGACCAGTTAATATTTTAGGGACATGTTCTTATTTTCGAATGAAAGAGCACTCCTGTTGATAAGAACATGCACTTATAAGTGAATCACAAAACCACACGAGGTTCATCATGGTTCCATTGTACTTGCATTCACCAATAATATGCGTACTTGCACATGTACATGTTGATGCGATGTTTGTCTCTCGCACATAAGACCATGGTCTTATAATCGCACGAAAATGCACTTGTGAAAGGACCAAAAACAGCGACTTAACGATTAAAGACGATGGTCTTGCAAGATTACGGTACATGTGCATCTGTGCCGTGGAGAACAGGCTACAAGACCGAGATGAAGTAGTGCAGTGTGACTGTGTATATGAACAGTTGAAAACTCTCAGTAGGAAGAAGACATACCATTCGTTGTTGCTGAGAAAATACGGAAAGCAGACAAGCTGTCAGTGGCAGCAATGTGTTTGCTGATCAGACGGTCGTTGTATGTGCATAAACATCAAAACACACACACAACATCACAGACCAGCTGGAAAAAACCTAATGTCAAAGAATAAACAAAAATCAGATGTCTATGACTCCAGTAAGACTTAGTCATGACAATGAAGCAGTACATGCATGTAGCATAGAGCCAACGGCTGTTCCCTGCATGCCATGCTCTTGGGTAGTTGCCTGCATATGAGCCAAAATGACTATGCTTCACTGCTTGACCACTACGATGCAGCTTCCTCATGTCATGTAGCGAACCCAGGATGCCGTCGACCTTCTTATCCGAATGAAGCCTCCACTCCACTGTCACTATAGGTGGCCGGCCACTCATTCCGTCATATCCATGGCTAAACGCCCTACACACCGGTATCCACCATGCTGATCGCGGGATGTGTGTGACGATACTGCCTGGTCGTCTTCATAGCGCGGTCGGTCAGTTTGACACAAGCACCACTGCCACTGGTCGGCATACAGTGATAAGAGCACGCTTCTGGGTACGAGATGGGCGCAGGGCAAAGTCAATACAGCTCTCGAAGTACTTCGCTCCGGCAAGTTCTCGTAAACTGTCGTCACCTGCTACATCATCTTCGGTGCTTAGCATTGTAATAGGAGTAGAGAGAGTGGACCTGCTTGGCGCTAAGCGAGATGTGCGGGCGCTTCTCCTTCAGTCGATAGACGGCTTGATCGGGTGTGGAACCAGTGGTCTGCAAAATACGAGCAGACGCGCAAACAAGAAGCTGAGCATGCTTAGGTTTGGAAATGCTATGCATAACAACAAGACCATGGACTTTTCTGTTTCGATGACCAGCCGGGAAGCTAAGCCATCAGAGAAAGGAACACTTGTCATGTCCAGCAAGAGAAGATATGCATGGACTGGAGACATACTACTGTTACAAAAAACTCGTGAAAGCACATAACATGCGCCTGCGCAGTCAGAGCACAAACACCATGAGTACCAACCTCGATCAAATAGCTGCCAGCAACGGTGGCACTCCTGGATCGCCCGGCCTTGCAATGAATGTAGGCACTCTCACCGTCGTCCAGTGCACGAATGGCCGACACGGCATACTCCATCTGTTCCACGCTTGGTGTGCCAAAGTACTCCATGACAGGTATGTGAATCTGCCTCACGTTCAGTCTGCCCCACTCCTGTATACATCCAGAGACAACACAAATCCAAACTCCTGGTCACCTTTGGTCTCGTAGCTCCACAAGTCTACTGGGGCAACGGAGATAGTTGCCAACAAATATCTTGTTTTAAAAGTACTACGACAACCAGAAAATAATCAAAAATGGCTCACATTCCCAAGACTACTAGTATATGGTCATGGGTCAATGCCTACTGCCAATGGTATGCATTCATGTTGCATTCTCCTTGTACTAGTTACCAGTAGTACACAGTGTGACCTTCAGGAAAGCATGTGTAAGTAGTTGTGTAATGTGATTAGGCAAGCGCAATAAACCAATGTCCACAGAAACTACTGGACTGACCAGCTCTGAGTTTGTGAAAAGCTGAGTTTCGTAACTGCGACATAGTGTGACCACCAGGCGGACATTCTCCTCTTCCACGAGCTGCAAAAGTGGCAGAAAACGAGAAATCAGAAGAGGTTGAAGCAATACTCCATTGATTACAAATATAATAGCGGTGCTAGTGCACCTGTTCATTCATCGGTGACAACCTAGTGTTTCTTCCAGGGCCGATTTCTATCAATACAATTTCCATAATAACAATTTCTGATTATTCGAACCTCGAACTGGGCACGTCCGGTTGATTAGAAGTCCCAAGGAATCCAGGACTGCCGGAAGCAGTTTTAGATTGGTCCGGTAGTGTCATGGCCTTTTATACTGATTATAGTGGGTACACATGACCGCCACAGTAGGAAACACGCGCTGATGGCCAAAAGTTGGTCCGGTAATAACCTGACCAACCGGACCGGGTCCGGCGGGCCTGGAATCTACTTACATAGAAAAAGTGCGGGAGATGTGCTCATATTTCAAAGTTAGCAATGCATGATTCGAAGTTCACTGTACATTCTACAAGTCAGTTCAGTTCGCATGAGCAGGCAGTTCAGTGACCACGGAATCGGTCACGGTCTAAGATGCATAGCGCAACTCTGCGTGACAACGCCAGCTTGTTGACATACATAAGTGTTGTGGGTACATGTTTGGATAATTAGAATGTCTGGATATTAAAATTAATGATTAGAACTTTTTCCCTGGCATTTTGGGGATTGAATTATCGAGATTTCACCTGTCGTGTTACTGCAAGAGAAAATTGTCCTTATGTCAATGTCGTTGTCTGACACGGGCAGTGTGTATCTACCCAAACCAAAAATTATTATTCCCATGTCGGGAATTCAGGTACGGACTTCGTTAGCTGTCATGGAGAATATTGACTAGCACAAGTACACATAGTTGGAGTTGCAGTGAGAGTAACAAAATCCTCTAATACCTGTTTGTTGTATCGCCTTAGAGGTAAAGCGCCCAATATCACACGGTTGTCCACTCGATCGTACCAGCGTCTCAGTTCACCAACGAACAACACGTTCTTCAGTAGAGTAGGGTAGAATGTAACTCTACAATAGATTTCCTTCACAATTCCAGGAATGAATCGATCCATTTGAAATGCAATTCCACAGTTCAAGTCAAATCAGCGAAAAGTGATGTGAATTTCAAATCACGTGTGTCAACAACACTCAACAAACGAGACTTGCATCCGCAAGTAGTTACTAGTTGTAGTTTGAAAGAGTAGGTGCAAGTACGAGCCTGCTTCAAAGAACGACGGGCACAAGAAAGCAATCACCAAAATAATTTTGATCTCGCAGATGAACCAAAAAATAATAATTATTTAAAATAACCTGAAAAAGCCACGTGCTGTTTGAAGTTTGAATTATGTCATGGATGACATGACAACGACGTAGAACATATACAGTGCCTTGTAACATGCTGTCAAAATCGGAAAACATGTAGGTCTACCACCCAGGGTATTTTACGACTCCCTGGTACCACCTGCCCTAGGCTCTGCGCACTGACACTGCTGAGGAATCTTCGGCATCATGGCGCCATGGCCTTCCTGTTCCTGGCATGATCGGGCCGGGATCGAGTCCTCGGCATGGCATGAAGCAACAAGGTTTCTTTCTCCATGAGTAGTTACTTGATTGTATTCTTCAGACAACACATGTACAGATATGATGCTGTTTCCGTCAGCTGGAGGCTTGCTGGCGTCCTTTTTCTTCGACATGGACGGACGCTGTCAAGGAGTGGCTGATGAAGACCTCTTCTTTTGATAGGGATAACCATGCGTAAGTAGCTTATGTGCACTACATGCGTTTTACTCTCCAGCCCCACATGCATGGCCCAGTAGTTTGTCGTTCAGCACCACAGCACTGTGTTCCACTAAACGCAGACTATTAGGTATGAACATCGAAGTTGGGCCATAGCCATATGCTAGTCAGAAGGATACCGTAGTCTTGTATAAAAGCCGCACTGGAATACAAGGCGCCCTCGAATAGAAGCCTCACTTTTGGAAGTATCAAATCCAACATAAGCCGCTCTTGTATAGTAGCCGCGGCTTCACAATGCGACACGTTTACGCTCACTCTTATGCACATGTGGACCAGTAGATTGTTCAGGCTACGCTCAGCCACGTGTGTTGCATATCATAGAGGGTCCAATAGAGCATTTACCCCAAAATGATCTAATCATTTTGCCCCTCAGTTTACAGCTCCCATAGTTATAGGATGGCCAATATAAATTGGTTGAGTGTGGTCTCCCATATGGTCTAGTGGTTAGGATTTCTGGTTTTCACCCAGACGGCCCGGGTTCAATTCCCGGTGTGGGAAACGGTTTCCTTTTTCTTTCTTTTTTTCATTTTTTTTGTGGTGCTTGGGCGATATCGCGATATCGATGCTTCGGTAGATTCTTCCGATTATTTTCAATTTACAACACCGTCAGTAGAATCCAGAGAAATCAATTTCGAGATGAAGGCAATTTGTTTAACCTGCGCCAAGAATTTGTACATATTGGTGAACGCTCTGTGCGTTTACTGCACCTTTACAACTACAAGTACCGTAAACTGCCCAATATTCGCGTCACTAAATTTTCGCGATTTCTCAGAACCAGCGAGTTTGCGATGGCAAAGGTTCGCGAAGCACTGGGGCCTCCTTACATACACCCACTGTTGAATTTAGATTTCACGATAGTTAATATTCGCGTTACGCTCTTCTCGCGAAAATAGCGAACATTAATCCGTCGCGAATATTAGGCAGTTTACAGTAACTGTACAAGGAGCCGGATACCGTTACAGCCATGATCTTTCCCCAAGTGGTTCTCCAGTGTAGGTATTCACTATGAATTCCAGGTGTTCGTACATGGCCGGCCGGCTGTACACTGTTGCTCTCTTGTTGTTCGAGAATTTCCAAACCTGGACTCGGAAAATGTGTAATTCAGCGTGTACGTGTTACATTTCACGATGGTGGTAGTCTATGGGGTGTGTTGTACGTCCCAGGCATGGTGGGCGCTGTTAAGAAGACCTGTATACTAACTCCTTGAGGTGGAGATCACTTGTCCTGTTGACTATAAGTACGTAGTGCAATCCATTCGGCTTTCGACACAGCTTGAATGGGTATATTTTAGTATCATAAAGCTGAAAGCTGGCCTGAGACTCCCTTGTGCTGCTCCTCCTGAAGATTTGCAATCCTTGCTCCCATCTGCTGCACCCTGATAGTGATACTTTGTAACAATTTGAGTGGGCATCCTCCAGCACCGTCTCCGTGGCGCAATCGGTTAGCGCGTTCGGCTGTTAACCGAAAGGTTGGTGGTTCAAGCCCACCCGGGGACGCTGATCTTTTTTTTGTTTTTTTTCTCCCACAGCTGTGTTCATGTAGCCAGGTGCAAGCACATGCTTGGCGTCAGACATACTGGTGTTCGTGATGACCATTGAGTATTCTTTTGCTCACACTGTAGTATCTATTTATTTTAATTTTTGCAAAATACATGAAGAAAAAACGGTGTGTCGGAAATGTGTCTGGTCAGACATTGTAGCAAGCGAACAGAAGGGACCAGATTCCAGTTGATTCTGCTTATAATCAACTCGCCCGTTCCGTATTACGAGATTCATTTGCAGGGAACCTTTTTCGTATGTCCACATAGGAGCACAATGGAAAACTGGTTCTATGTACTGTATAAGCAGAAAAATTCGTCTGGAATTTAATTTCGTCTTTTTCGTCCAAGGAGCTTTTGGACTAAATTAAATGTAGGACTAGTGTCGATTTGCCCAGCTTTTCTATACACTCTTATGATCCATGGACGAAATTTTCAACCGGACGAACTCCTTTTCTTTGGAGTTGGACGAAATTATTGACCGACGAAATTTTCTGCCTCTACAGTAGTTACTGTAAGACCAGTAATAAAATACCTGGTCTTACAGTATCTGTTTTTGTTCGTAAATGATATTACAGTGAAACCTGTCTAGGATGACCGCTCAAGGGACCTTCAAAATGTGGTCTCTGTTACCAGGTGGTCTCCTTATCCAGGGTCGTTTGACTGGTAATAGTATCCCTTGGTCCTGGTTCCAGTGGTCTTCTAGGACAGGTGGTTGCCTTGTCCGAGTGGTCACATAGTCATTGACAGGTTTTACTGTACTTGTACTTCAAAGTAACTGAATCTCTCTGTCTTTCTGCTGTGCAGCATGCAATGTAGTCACAAATCAGGTGTGGTTATGTTACACAGTCCTCGGTTGTATGGGCAGTGCCCGCGGGTGCATTTCTGTTCTAGAAGAACCCTTGGCTGGAGGAATTCATTCCTACCCGCATGTACTTAATTTGCCAAGGTTTTCATTGTGTGCCTTTGTGTACCCGCGTGTACTGTAGTGTACTGTACTTCGCTATGGCCAGAATGGGTGCAGTTCGACCCAGAAGTCGTCATTTTATAATTTTGTTGACTCGGCCTGACGTCATTGCTTTCTCAAGCACTTTCATCATTATTATGCAGAATGTGAAACCCTTTAAATAGAGGCAACATGCCTTTTCCTTACGCCCCATCATGACCGGTGACTTTGTTCCGAACAGAGATAGGCCCGCCAACTTCAATTCGTCTGTGTCTGTGGTAGGAAGTTCTCCCTCCTGGTTTGGCTTCCAGTAGGGAGGTTGCCTGCTCTCAACATGTAGGGGTAACAATGGGCATGCTATTTAAGCACGTTGACCATGCATTGGATAAAGTGCCAGTCAAACCAACGAGTGCACCGCTTTACATGCATGGCTAGCACACTTGCCACACAATCTGTGCCGAGTATAGGGAGGTTTTCAATTCTGGTCGGGAGATAGGGAGATGTTTTGAAAACACCAGCAAGATCCGCGGGAGATCTCCAGCCTGATAGGGAGATTTGGCACTTCTGCGGAGAGGTGCACACGTCCTCTTGGCTTCTTCTTGAAGTTCCTGATGTGTTTGTAAAGGCGTGGACAAAGACGAAGTGGATGGTGTTGGTGCACCTCCTCCCCCTGCCCTTGTTCATTGCTGATCCTATGCATGCAGTGTATCAGGTTGTGTGATAATCTTGCATCTGTCTCATGTATGGCCAGTCTTTCATCTTCGACATGGCGCATTATGACATACCATGATGTACATCAATCATCATGACATCCCGCGAAACTGTTGCAGTGATCGTAGTCTGTCTACTTCGTGGCGATGTGCACCTGGTACACATGGTAGATCTACATGGTGCACTGAGTCTGTGCTGGTCATGGATTGGATATCACCGGGGGAATGCGTCGCTTAGCAACAAACGTTTATTTTCAACGCATGCTGGATGAATCAAAATGTGCTTTGCGGCTTGCCCTGATCCGCTTTCTGCTTTGGCAGTGCGCGTGCAGTCTTCGCGCTCGCGTGCGAGTGATAGACCCAGCAGCCTAGGCAGCAGGGCGCTAGGGCCGACCACGAACTAGTACAAGTAGTATACTGTATAGTAGTAGAACTGGTGGTCCACATTTTGTTCAGTGTCTGGCGCTGTCTAGGCGGTGAACCCGGTCAACCCAGGAATCAGTTTCTGACAGCAGACAACTTTGAAAATTTTCATTCTACTATTTCTAGTTTTGAGGAACAATTTTGCTGATCGCCTAAACCATTGTAAACAAGCTAAAGTAGTAAAGAAGATCGGTGCACCAGTGGTACAGTAGAACTTGCTTTGCGGAACAGCGCAGTTTTCTCTTGTCGTGCCGTCGACCCTTGCTAGCTTCGTGTGATTGGAGTCGCTGGGGAAAGTAGGCCTTATGGCCGAGGCACTGAAGCGGCGTGATGTAAGTAATTGCTCACTAGCGAAGTGAATTATTTCGGGCTACAAGAGTTATCGCCTTTTGCACGATTGCATATTCTTTCATTCTCGTAGGCCGCTGCCGCTCGCCAGCGAACTATTCGCGCCTCGCAGCAGAGCGGACTGGTGTCCGCTGGTAGCTCAGCAGAGATTGCTGGCGCATCAGCAGCTGCTGGTATGTCGAGCGTGCAGCTAGAGGCGGATAGAATCAAAGCCAGACTGCGGCTGCCGCCCATTCCCACGTTGCCGCCGTCGCGTATACCACCGGATCGTAGTAGCGCGCTGATGAAGCACCGGCGTAGCAAGAAGGTGCAGGAGGAGATCGTTGACAGACTGTAAGTAGGTAGGAGTGATCGCATGTGGAGCGACATACTTCACTGACACTGTTCAGCTCTAGCCCTACACTACACCAGTTCCAGCATTTCAGACATTTCGGGTCCATTGCTAGTATTAAGCTGTGTTCACAACTGGCGCGTGTACGCTGCACGCTTGCTGTTCATGCGTGCCCAAACGCGCGCTCAGGCTTTCACAAAAAACAGCAATCCGAGACGTATTTAGCGCGTGCGACACCTTCGAGTACTTATTTTTTGACCCCGCCAGTCAAGGTGACTGGCATGTACGCTGGTACGCGCCTGATACGCGCTGAAAATTCCAACATGTTGGAAGTTCCATTTCGGCGCGTTTCCGTACGCATGGCACCCCAAAAGCCAGCAAAATACGCACAAACGCGTGGTATCACGCGTACACGCGCCAGTTGTGAACACAGCTTAAGGCTTATGCCTGTTTTGATTCACACTACAAATAAAGTATACAACAACAACAACAACAACAACAACAACAACAACAACCGATTTTAGTAATCTGTTATGGCATCAACAGATGTGCCACGTCTTCCTATCAGGCGGGGCACCTTCTGATTTTGTTGACGAAACGTCTCCCTATCTCCCGACCAGACCCCAAACCTCCTTACTGGGTGCAGATCATTGCAGCAAGTGTGATAACTGATAACCATGCATGTGCAGTGGGGCACTCGTTGGTGTGACTGGCCTCTGCATCAATACACTGCAGTATACATGTAACTCACACCTCTTGTACCGTTGAAATAACACAATAAATGCAATGTTCGAAAAATGTAATGAAAACGAATAATTCACAATACAGCGTGAATTGATCATGCTGAACCTCTATACACTGCAGTGTATCATGTGTAAGTGCAGTGCCTGGCAACCAGTGATGACTGCTGTACATGCACATGATGATGTAGCCGAAGTTAGTGCGTCCAATGTGCTTAGTGAATACCGTAACATCCTATGAACACCATACTGCGCCATGATCGGTCGCTTGGCCAACATCATGCAGCTCAGCACCCTCAGCTCAGCTCAGCTCTGTCACCATGGTCACTGATTCAGCACCCCTTTGCAATGGACTGGGCAGCATGACCCTGTGGCCTACATGTACTACTCAGTACATGTATATGGGCCTGTACTGTGGCTTACATGATTGTACTATATCCAGGCGCGTGCGCCGGTGCCCTTCAAGGGGGGGGGGGTCCGGGGGCTTCCCGCGGGAAAATTTTCAAAAAATGAAGCAAAATCCTGCATTTTGAGCGAAAAAGGGGGGGGGGGGTCCGGGCACCCAGGAACCCAAACGGGACACGCGCCTGATATCTACACTACTACTTGTACGGGAAAAATAACACAATGATTGAATGAATGCAACGTTCGCAAGTAGGATGAAAGCAACTGATACACATGTACTATAGTTCTCAGCTACTCAGTGTACTAAGAATTCAGGATACGTGTATCACATGCCACGTAGCCCACATAGCTACATAGCATGTACAGTGCTGCTCCATGGAATCCGATCGCGTGGGTCTAGTCCGCGCAGGCTGTGTGCAGCCTTAGGCCTGTGAACACTGGGCTGCGAAATTTCGCAGGGCATAAACTAGGCTCGCACGATTGTAGTTCATTGAGCAGCACCGGGCTTGCACACAACCCCAGCAGTGTATCCGACTTCTTACCCCGGTGCGATACGCAACGACTTTATCCATCACACCCCATCCTTCAGTTGTCTGATGATTTCCTATGGGCATGAAACTATTACCGTAAAGTACCGTTGATCCGTCCCCTCTCTAATTCCCGCCCCCTGTCGATTTTCTACCTGTGAAGCGACTTCGGCGTATACAACGGAATACGATGTTGACCCGACGCATGCACTGCTGTACACAAAACGTGCTAATCCAGGATGAAAATGTGCACAATCCAGCGCATCGAGTCTGATCCTCCACGTTGTTATACATCGTACTGCACTTGACAGCCTTGATCTAATTCCTGCCCCCTGCCGAAAACCCACCTGGGAAGCGACATGGCGTGGGGGGCGGATCAACGGTACTGTACGGTGGTTACATCCGGATGATGTGTGGTGCTCTGTGCCTTGTGAAGTTGTGTGCCACACCTCATCCCGTTACATTGTGGCGGTACCAAGGTACTAATGAATTATCGCCCTTGTATGATACATCCCACTGTACATTCTAGTAAAGCATAGTCTTCTAGTGATCCACTTAATCTCTGTGTTCTTAGTCGTTGTGTGCGTGTGTGTGTGTGTGTGTGATGGCATGGATCGCCGCTAGTGTATAATCTGGTCTGTTGCCGCCAGGAACTTCTGTATCAGTATCACTGTATCAGTCTCCATTCAGGCTGGTTATAGGTTTGCCCGCGCTGGCTTTTGCACCATGGCCTTGCAAGTGGCCAGGGCTCAGCTGCAGTTCTCGGACTTACGAGTCGTACATGCACACGCCAAGCCCATTCCTCTCTATTTTATGTGGTACGGAAAAGAACGACAGCTATTGAATGCTCCAGGAAGGAAATGCGATGAGAATATACAAGTAGTGTTTTGCTGCTGGTGTTGACACTGTTCCTATAGGTGATTGATTCATTGTTTGAACCAGTTTCCTCTGGTCAAATTTTGATGGGCTTCCTATTACCCAAGAGTTCCTGTCCCCCCCCCCCCCGCGTTAGCAAGAGTACATAACCCCAAGAGTGTGCAACTGCCTGCACAACCTCTATGCTGTGCTGCGACGGCAGAACTTCACATCACGTGACATGGTTCAAAAGGTTATGCTGGCAAACAGTGCAAAGTGACCACAAGAGAGTTGTACCCAAAGCTGGGCTGCGTACAACCCTGTATCTTTCATGCACAGAGTGCAAATAGTGTGTACGGGTTCATCATGTGATGTGAAGTTCTGCCGTCGCAGACCCCATAGCTGGAGTTGCACACTCTTGGGGTTATGTACTCTTGGCGTTAGTTATGAACAAGTATGCTAGGCGCCTTCTCTCAGGTCTCACACAGCCTACAATTGTTGTCACTGTATACTTCTGCCCTTTTGTGTTTCTAGTTATGCCAAGGCAAACGAGAGCTTGCTGAGCACAGCTGAGAAGGCTAAGGCACGCACTCCCTCACCGGAGTGTCCTCTTCTCCCCAATGAGGTAAGCTGCTCTGGTTAGATGTTATGCTCCTCAAGGCCATGTTTCTTCAGTGATGTTATGCTCAGCTAGCTTTGGACATGCCAGTCATACTGGTATAAGCAATACATTGTGTACCCTTGCTTGGTGTGTGTATGTGTATGTGTGTGTGTATGTGTGTATGTGTGTATGTGTGTGTGTGTGTGTGTGTGTGTGTGTGTGTATGTGTGTTTCTCTCCAGTTGATGGGCAAGCAAAGGCTGCAAGTCTTGCAGTATGACTTCTTCGAGAAGCAGGCGTACAATGCTCCTATCCCGCGCTTTCCCGATGACACCTGGCTACACATGGTGATGCGCATCTGTCTGTCCACAGACCTCCTGGAGCGCTACAGCTACTTGCTGCGGGCACTGAAAATGGAGGTGTATGAAGATTATGACACTCAGCTGCGCAAGGGCCATGGTAAGTGACTGAATGACTGCTTTCTTTGCATTACATGGATTATGCACTTCAACACAGTTTTAGTAGGTGAAATCTAGCAACGTAAATAAGGCAGCGTCCATGCCAGAGACCTTGCTATGCGTAATTGGGCCAGCAAGTAATGACATTGGACTTTGCTTGTCGCAACGGCCGTTCAATTTTCACCCGGACTGGTACCTAGTGTCACACTGTCCAGCGGCGCACTGCTTGTGAATGTCAATGAAGGTATGCAGCACGGGACGACAGATCCCCGTTCACATGCCTATGCACGTTAAGCAGTAAGTAATAATAAGCTTTCCAGCTTCTTTGAGACGAAGTCAGTGCAGATTGAGTGAGTTGCAGCATGTTGAAATCATCGCCGGATAGTTGTCCAATTTAAACTGCATTGACAGATAAGGGTTACAATGAATGAGAGATTGTAAGTACACCTGTGTCGACTACATGTTCTTGTCCTTGTTTGGCAGCTAAGCTGTTCGTGCTGTCTTCACTTGCCTGGTGTGTTGGATGCAGTATACTTTTGCCTGCGACGCCCGTGTGTGCCCGGCGTGAAAGGATTCACGGAGCCCTTGGAGCCGATACCAAGGAAGACCTTGCCACTGTAAGCTTTGCTGCATGAAATATCTCTGAGCCCTTGTTATGCCGCCGTTGTCCGTCGGTCGGATGGACGATATGGTGCAGTTGCAGCGAGCACAGACTATTTCCCTCATTCTTTTCATCAGGGTATTTGCTATTTGTTAATGGCTGAATGCTTGGTTGGAACGTCTCCATTCCTTTGTGACCTGTATGTCTGCCTACATCTGTAGCCTGTACAATGATCTAGATATGGTGTTTTCAGAATAATGGACACCTTGCCATTTTGATATACAGTCAACTTTGCTAATAACGACTGCGGATATAACGACAATTCGCGAATAACGACAGAAGTTCCATGTCCAGAGTAAAGTCCCATCTAACTGCAATACATAATTATGATGAGACTTCGGGTATAAGGACACTTCGCGAATAAGGACACTTTTCTGATGCCCCGCCGAGTGTCGTTATACGCGAAGTTGACTGTAGCATGTAGGAATATGCTTTTCCACCGCATTGCATTAGTATCTGGTGTTGTTTCCGGTATGATGGTGATATCGATGTCAATGTGCGTGTGTGCGCGCGCGTGTGTGTGTGTGTGTGTGTGTGTGTGTGTGTGTGTGTGTGTGTGTTCATCCTGCACAGTGGTCTGGACTGTTCAAGTCCCTACCATGCCAGCATTGTAGCTGCTCGCAAGTCGCTCAGCCGCCAATTGCAGATCACGCACCCTGCCGTGTGCAAGTTGTTCCAGCGCTGTCAGGCACAGAGCCAGCAGATCCTGCTGGATCCGCAATGCATAAGGTAACGCACATCGAATTTTGATGTCCACAGCAGTACTAGATATAGTATGCAGGCAAGGAGTTCTTTGTCACAACGCGAGTGTCTTGTGGTATGCGATTGACTTGCAACCACTGATTGTCTCTTTGTTGCGTGCCCTTCTGTCTGCATTTTGTGCCTTGCTTTGATCTAGTGGCCAAGGTGCAATTGAAGTTGATCTTTTCCATGGCATCATCGAGTTCGAGCTGAGCAAATCACAGGAGAATACCATGCAAAAGTGAGTGTTATTTTGTAGCAGGTAATGCAGCTTGTTTGAGAAACCATGTTCATTTTAAGACTTTGGTACTTCGGCCTTGGCCATATAATGCTATTTGGACATTTTGACGCGAGCATTGTTACGCAACTCATTCCACCCCACCACACTGCACTCTTGGCAGACTCGCTTGACATGCACTATCACCAGATTTGAGAATGCCCAAGAGCTCTGTCGCAGCATTCCTATTTCGAAAGTTCTTGTCATAGGGTCACGTATGAAAGCAGTACCTAGAGTCACATATTCCGACGTTTAGACCGTTCTTTTATTTGAACTTTCCTTCTGAGGGGGGGGGGATCATGCTTTTATTTGACCTTTCCTTCTACTGAGGTCATAGTTATGTGCATAACCAATGTATAGAGGCATGTGTATGCATCAAGACCCTCTTCAAAGTTCTGTTTGAGCCATGCTTCTGTGCAAGATGTAACAATATGCCACGAGTAGTCATGTTGTTTATGTGTGTGAACAGGACTTACAATGCGTTCTGTTCCGTATCTTGATTATCCAGGTGGGCACCAGAAGTGCTCAACTTGCTCAGTACGGCTTTGGGTCAGAATAAAGTTCAGGACGAGCGTCGTTTCTTCGCCGTGACTGGAGTTGTCATCAGCAACATGGTTGGTTCTCGTGTGTTTCCGTGCTATTTGATTACCGTGCTTCACCCATGGATGCAATTTTGGCAGATAAGAGTGCACAGGAGGTACATCAGATCTCCCGCTCCCTATGTACAGTTTTCCATGCATATTGACTATTATAGCAGGGCATACTTGTCTTTTCACGGAAAGTCACGCTCCATTGACATCACTTCACACGCATGGTATTCAGCACCTCTCAGTATATCTCACCGTGTGCTACAGGTTCTACTGATGCAGTCCACCGTGCAGTATTGATACGGAGGACCCTTTAGTATTGAGTAGTATCTACTGATGCAGTCCACTGTGCAGTATTGACACGGATGACTGTCTAGTTCTACTGATGTAGATGTCTGATGATCGCTTAGTGCGTGAAACTCGGAGTAAAACACTTTTTTCAGCCTCTTATTATTGTTTGATGTAGTCCACTGTGCAGTATTGATACGGAGGACTATCAAGTATTTACTATTGAGTAGTATCTACTGATATAGACCACTGTGTAGTATTGATACGGATGACTGTCTACCAATGGAGTCCACCGTGTAGTATTGATGCGGAGGACTAACACAGTTACTACTAGTGCAGTGCACCGTGCATGCAGTATTGCCACCATCACACACTGTCTTCTACTTGCACTGTTCTGTGTCGTACATCCCAGGCGTGGAACATCATCCGTGGCACCATTGCCGCGTACACGGAAAAGTTCTCCGACCCGGAAAGGACCACGGGCCTGCCGCTCTTCAAGCTGTGCATGTGCCTGGAGGGCAGTGATATCTTCTTTGAACCTGACCTGGCAGAGATCGAGGGTGCTATTGTTGGCGTGTGTCGACGCATCAGCCGTTGCCTGCAGTCCATTCCGACGATCGAGGTAGGGTACATTTGCAGTGACTTGTGGTTCTTACGGGTTTACTCCTGTTGAGTCGACTGGCGTAGTCTCCGGGTGTGGCACTGCACGACCATTGTGTTCTTGAGCACTGTGACATCCCATCATGTTGCTTTTTCCTCTGTGTAGCTGAGGTGTGCTTGAGATTGTCTTCTGGACGTGTTGCTCAATCATCACTCGCACAGTTCTCTTAAAAGTTATCGCCATCCTTCAGCTGTCTTGTTTCACCAGTGTTTCGTTCTAATCTACCTTTTTTTGTGCCATGTGATGCGCTCTGTGTGAACAGTCGTACATCTCTGGAGAGTCCGTGATGGAGCACTTGCGCATCACCTGCGATGAGGACTATTTGAAGAGCGTGGACCTAGTGTTGAAGCAGGCTGTTCAGCGTCTTCTTGAGGGACCCAGGGCGCACGCAAAGTTTTTCGGTTAGTTCCTGCTGTTGCTGACAGCCTATCATTGCCAACTTACCGTAGTCTGATTCCTTATCAGTATACAGTGTTGAAAAGAAAGCACCTGCCCTGGTACAATGGTTGGCCGTTCATACCTGTCATGCCTCTTCTTCCAGATTCGTACCAAGACTTGCTTGACGGCTCTGCAAGGAAGCAACTGGAGGAGTTCATTGCTGCCGAGCATAGCTTCAATGAGAGCGCAGAGGTAAGGACAGCTGATCGTAGCATGCATTTATGGAAAGTGGCATTGGTGTTGTTCACGCCTGTGTACCGGCTATTCCGTCAGTTTCGGGTACACCGTGTGCTGGTCTATAGTGCGTTTCAAAAGTATAGACCTCTAGATCTTTTCGAATAATTCAAATTTGGTTTGAGCTTTTTGAGAAATATCTTCAGGGTATTGTTCAGGCAGCTCCCGCAATTTTTCTCATATAAATTTCTAAGCGATTGGATCACAGACGCCCACTTTCGGAAATTTCATGCACAAAGTGATCAAAGATGTTATATGGTATAGATGCTGGCCTAAGGGTTTTTTTTTGAAACCAGAAATCTGGACTTTTGAAATGCACTATAGTCCTTAATGATCTAGTCCTAAATGGCAAACGATTCAGGCATAGGTCTTGGAGTATCCGTGAATTTCTACCATCCGGTCGATATGGTATTACCTATGTGGTTCATCTGCTGAGCTGGTGCGTGGCATATAAATTTACTCTTGACTGTGTTCCCTGATGTGTTAGCTCTGCTGGCTAGCAAGTTATCCCATGATGCAGGTACTGTTCCTGTTTGATTTGTCAACACTTGCATCCTTTGCTCGATTATCTCATTCTGAAGACGGATAGTCAGGAGCGGAACGGGAGTCGTTTTGTTGCTGGGTTGGTGAATGTGATCGGTCACAAAGTGCTTGCATTGGTATTGGAAGTGTAGCGCCTTATCGTATCTCTTGTGTCGGTTTTACTAAAACACTGCTCTGCTTTTCTTGTGGACATTTGTGTGTGCAAAGGAGCTGGAGAGGCTACGCGCACGCGGCTTTGATATCGCCGGACTCCCGTACTTGGAATACTTTCCGTTGATCGAGCTAGACTGCCGCAACACGAAGAATGGCCTGCTCATCCTGCAGAAAGACCTGATCGCCATGATTGCGACCGCCATGTCTGATCTTCATCGCACGGAAAATGAAAAGTACGACCTGTTGTTGGCCAGCCTGTGTCTAACTTCTAAAATGTGTCTCAGCTCTGTGGTACCTCATGTGAGGTACTTCTCAGTCTCTGAATGTGTCTCCCATATGGTCTAGTGGTTAGGATTCGGCGCTCTCACCGCCGCGGCCCGGGTTCGATTCCCGGTGTGGGAACATTAGTTTTTTTCTTTTTTTTAAACATTTTTTTAGTCCATCGGATGACATCACTGCAGAGTACTAAATTATATGTTTCTTGTACCTCTTTTCCTTGTTCGTTTGCGCACAAGGATCTGCAAGGAGTTTACGGTGATAAGGGAGAAGGCATTGACGGAGCCGAGAGATACCAAGCACATGCTCCAGCTTGATAAGTTTGTGGAAAAGGCGGCCACCATTCTTGTGCCCGCTCTGCAGGAGCGTATTAAGGTAAGCCGGGAAGGAGGTGCTGGCTAATAAAGTTTCTGGTGGTATGAACCGTACGTGATATCCAAACCCTGCATACACTAGTGTAGCAGACTACCGCAAACCACCCTCTCACATTGATTTTGCGTGTTGTGAAGCCGAATTGTGCAGTACTTATCAGGGTGAAATTCAGGCCATGCCACATATTCCATAAGAATTGGAGAATGAGATATTACAGTCAATTGCTAGATGTGAATGTTGAACGACCGACCAACCACGCATCAACATAACTCGTCATTCTCAGTAGCAGCATTGTCAAACCCCTTTTCTTGCAGCTCTTCTTATCTTTCTGCCACCATGGGTATCAGAACTGCCATCATCATCCTGGTCGTCGCACTCAGCTGGAAATGTCTGATTTTCTGAGATTGGATAAACAGGTTTCTAGAGAACAGTTTCTGTGTGACCTTGCCCAAGGCCGGTTTGATTTCTCTTCCCCATCGCCTCACCCGACAGCAACGCAACAGGCTGGGCCGGCTGCATGCCACTCTGCTCAAGCAAACAGATTTTTCATTTTTGCTATCTGACTGTGGAGTGAGAGGTAGCTGAGCCCATACAAAGTGAACGTGAACTGGGCTTCGCCTGTTCACCAGCGATTCAAACGTTTCTCGCATGTGACCCCAAAAAGTGACCATTGGTGCAACCTTGAAAAAGCTCTATATCTATTGTGTTGATGACAATGTCATTGTTGTTTTTATCTTGTTTGCAGGAGAGTCAGAACCGCATGATTCACCTCCTATCTTCGAGTACTGTCAGCGATGATGACATGGAGTTGAACTGTGCTGTTCTGGCGTGGCCCAAAGACATCATGCCAGTCTTCAATGAGCACGAAGAGGTACAGTGCAGCCGTATCCCGAGTTTTGTAATGTGCTGTTCGGCTAAGGAGTCAATCTTGTGATCTGCAAGTGTCGTATTTCTGTTGAATAGTTGATTGTTCTGTTCTTCATTATCTACCTTCACTGACAATTTTCGGAAGAGCGAAACAGCTGTCTGCATGGGCCTAGAATAATACTACACCGGAAGTGTCCTCGATATGGTGGCGTTGTGCAAGTGGAATGGATTGGTCAAGAGCACAGGTTGGAGTGGTGGAGTTCGCTCAGATTGTATACACAAGCCGAGTGTGTCATAAAATCTTCTCAACCTACATGTAGAGTAGTTCTTCTGACACTCTTACCAGATATTTCCACCGGGCGTATGTGCGTAAAGTTATTCTAATAACGAGATATCCATTTTTTAAGCTGTCGGTCACGGGTAAGTTAATGAAGCAGTCATGACGTTTCATTGCGTATCCGTTTGTTTCACAGATCTCTGCCAGAGCCAAGAAGAGAAGTGAGCAGGGCTTACTCGAGCGCCGCAACCGCCTACAGCTTGATATTGAGCAAGTCCAGGCGTAAGTACAGTAAAACTTACCAAGATGACCACTCTGATAAGGCGACCGCCTGCCCCAGAGGACCACTACAACTTGGACCAAGGGGTGAATTTTTCTTCAGTCAAATGACCCTGGATAAGAAGACCATCTCACCTGTACACGGAGACCACAACCATTGTAAGGTCTCTTGAGCGGTGTAATCTCAAATGAGGCCAAAGAACTATGTGCATGTGCAATGTGTTCTGAGTATCTTCCACACCAGTGTATAGACACCAGGCACTTCTTAGAGGATAAAAGTCAGCATTTGCTTGCTTATTGAGCCATATGTCACGGAGCAGATGTTCTGTATCCCCTTTGCATGTAGGAGACAGGAACGCAGTCTGTGTGTGTGTGCTCTTTTTCTTCTGGTTTTTGTATGTCTGAAGATGAGAACTTCTTTGTATCTCAAGCATGTGCGCATTCCATTTCTATCCGTGTGTACAGGCTTGTGGACTCTGTATCTCAGTGGTCTGATCTTCCATCCATGGGCACCTACTGCAAGGAGATTGCCTCCATACTGAAGCGCGTCGCTAAGCTGGGCGAGGATGTCACTCTTGTCAATAAGGTAACACATCAGCTGAATGCAGGCAATGCACAGTCCAAGAACACCTACCTACACTGATTCCACTGTCTGACCGATATGCATGCATGTGTTGTCTATGCTCTGAGCATTATAGCCTTTGGAGGTGACAGGAACTGTAGGCGATAGTCATTGTCTAGTTTTACCTTTGTCGCCAAGTATTAGAGCACAGACTGAGACAGGGCTTTGCTTCCAACCTTGAAGGTATATTCAAGAAGTCTACAAAACAAGAAAGTCCACTCAAAGGACCGAATGCCCAGCACAGCAACAAAAAGTCCAAGGTCACATGGCCGGGCCTGCATGCCTGCCAGGATGTATGACCCGTGGAGAATCCTAGTGACGTCAGCAGATCGGAATACACGCAGATACGAGGGTGAAGTAATCATGCCGATTACTCGTCACTTACTCGTTATAGTGGTACTCGATACTCGCTAATAGTTGCAGAATGTACTTATCAAGTTCTGGGAAAGCTTTTCAGCAACCAATATCCTGGAAAACAGGTAGGCCTGCCTGGCCACTCACAACCATAATCATGATAACCTACGATGGAGACCTGTGATTCTAAGTGGTCTGGCATCTGTACCATCATTACTCTGGCCTCCTGCGTTATTAACCCGACTGCTGCATGGACGATAAGTGCTGCGAATAGTGATCATGCACCCTGGCCTGAGCAGCTCGCTTGGCTCGCTTGGCTAATTGAAAGTCTGCCGACCTCGGCCACATTATGTTGCTAATACATGCACAACCCCAGTCACAGCGCACAAGTAGTTGGTTGAGTTTGGCCGTCAGGAGGCCAGCGCAAGGTATCCGGGGCGCGGGTCTGATTCCAGCGAGGGGCAATGTGGTACCCCGCAGCGCAAGGGTAGCGTGATACCCTAAGCCAACGTGCGTGCTGCATGAGTAGCGTGATACTCGCCGAGCGCTTTTGCTGTTGCCTAGCAACGCGTTTCTGTCTTTCCTGGGCCCCCAAATGCATGTTGGGTGGCCCTGCGCATGACTGCACGTTGTCATAGCAACCTTGGAAATCTCAAGCCGGTTACCAACAAGCTAGGAATCAGACCAAGCCGAATGCCCCCGCCGGCCCCCGGCGCTTCATTGCAATTGAATTAATATTTTGTCCAGAATAGTGAGCTAGGACAGATCAAATACAATGTAGCTTGGAGTACCATCATGCTGAGTGGCACTCATTGTGAGACGTAGGATAGTGTAGAGCGATAATAAATACCAGGAGGCGTGGGTGGGAGGGAGAAATTGCAAAACAGTTGGATGCACGCAGCAGCACAGCTAGCAAGAGAAAGAGCCGTGGATGGGTTTGTTCCTGTTTTTGATGGCTGTGGCCATCCGTTCGCCCAACGCTCGTGTGAGTACGGCGTTTGTTTGTGCTGCCAGCTCGCGTCCGGCGTTTGTTTGTGCTGCCAGCTCGGGCCCGGTGCGCGAGTGAAACCGAACCGTGACAAAGGCTTTCGCTCTTTAGTGCTATTGACTGGCTTTTCATACGATGCCTATTGATGTCTAGAGACATGCTGTCTAGCCTTCCCCTGGTACGCATTCACGGGGCTTTGTTGAAGTTCGTGCCGTGAACTGCCAAAGGGAATTGTTTGAATGGTGCTGGGGCGAGTGCGACATTACGGCGTCCCTGCAGCCGGCCTAATCGCGTTTGTTGCCACAACCGATTTTAACCCGACTGCTGCATGGACGATAAGTGCTGCGAATAGTGATCATGCACCCTGGCCTGAGCAGCTCGCTTGGCTCGCTTGGCTAATTGAAAGTCTGCCGACCTCGGCCACATTATGTTGCTAATACATGCACAACCCCAGTCACAGCGCACAAGTAGTTGGTTGAGTTTGGCCGTCAGGAGGCCAGCGCAAGGTATCCGGGGCGCGGGTCTGATTCCAGCGAGGGGCAATGTGGTACCCCGCAGCGCAAGGGTAGCGTGATACCCTAAGCCAACGTGCGTGCTGCATGAGTAGCGTGATACTCGCCGAGCGCTTTTGCTGTTGCCTAGCAACGCGTTTCTGTCTTTCCTGGGCCCCCAAATGCATGTTGGGTGGCCCTGCGCATGACTGCACGTTGTCATAGCAACCTTGGAAATCTCAAGCCGGTTACCAACAAGCTAGGAATCAGACCAAGCCGCCGAATGCCCCCAAATTCTGCGTTGGTCAGCCGAATGACCTTAGTGTGGTATTCAAGCGCTTCAGCTACATCATGTACATGTACGTAGTTCAAATGCGTGCCATTCGTATGGTTGTTTTCCCTTAGTGACATTGATAAGGGTTTGAATCGCATGTAGTCGGCAAAAGCAATGGGTGGCATGATGCCTTAGGTGGGAGCTATAGCACAGCAACTGAGGGTGCAGGTTACTGAGGTAACTTATCATAAGTATCAGAGGCGTGCGTGCACAGTCAGTGCTAGAACGTGAGTGCATACGTCAGCGAATGGGCGTACCAGCGTGTGTACCTGCATGCGTGCTTGCGTGGTGTCAGACTGCGGGTGCGCGTACGCGTGCATGCATATGTGTGTGCATGCGTGGGGGTGTGCGTGCGTGTGTATGTGTATGCGGGTGCGTGTATGTGGGTGTGGCTGTGCGCGCTTGCGCCAGCGCAAGGTATCCGGGGCGCGGGTCTGATTCCAGCGATGGGCAATGTGGTACCCCACAGCACAAGGGTAGCGTGATACCCTACGCAGCACAAGGGTAGCGTGATACCCTACACAGCACAAGGGTAGCGTGATACCCTACACAGCACAAGGGTAGCGTGATACCCTACGCAGCACAAGGGTAGCGTGATACCCTACACAGCACAAGGGTAGCGTGATACCCTACGCAGCACAAGGGTAGCGTGATACCCTACGCAGCACAAGGGTAGCGTGATACCCTACACCGCACAAGGGTAGCGTGATACCCTACGCAGCACAAGGGTAGCGTGATACCCTACACAGCACAAGGGTAGCGTGATACCCTACACAGCACAAGGGTAGCGTGATACCCTACGCAGCACAAGGGTAGCGTGATACCCTACGCAGCACAAGGGTAGCGTGATGCCCTACACAGCACAAGGGTAGCGTGATACCCTACGCAGCACAAGGGTAGCGTGATACCCTACGCAGCACAAGGGTAGCGTGATACCCTACACAGCACAAGGGTAGCGTGATACCCTACGCAGCGCAAGGGTAGCGTGATACCCTACGCCAACGTGCGCGCTGCATGAGTAGCGTGATACTCGCCAAGCGCTTTTGCTGTTGCCTAGCAACGCGTTTCTGTCTTTCCTGGCCCCCAAATGCATGTTGGGTGGCCCTGCGCATGACTGCACGTTGTCATAGCAACCTTTGAAATCTCAAGCCGGTTACCAACAAGCTAGGAATCAGACCAAGCCGCCGAATGCCCCCAAATTCCGCGTTGGTCAGCTGAATGACCTTAGTATGGTATTCAAGCGCTTCAGCTACATGCATGTAGTTCGAATGCATGCCATTCGTATGTTTGTATTCCCTTAGTGACACTGATAAGGGTTTGAATCGCATGCAGTCGCAAAAGCTATGGGTGGCATGGTGCCATAGGTGAGAGCAATAGCACCGCAACTAAGTGGAGCAGATAGCTTCTCATAAGTATCAGAAGCGTGCGTGCACAGTCAGTGCTAGAACGTGAGTGCGTGCGTCCGCGAGTGGCCGTACCAGCGGGTGCGCAGCGTGTGTGCATGCGTGCATGCTTGCACGGTGTCAGAGTGCGGGTGCGCGTACGCATGCGTGTGTGCATACATGTGGGTGTGCGCGTGCGTGCGTGCGTGCGTGTGCATGTGTATGCGGGTGCGTGTATGTGGCTGTGCGCGCTTGCGCGCCTGCGGACGGTGAACAGTTACTTTCCACAGCGGACATAGTGCTTGTAGCAGGCACTTCGCCGTTCTGCCGAGTTTCATGATCTCGGATTCGGTGAAGCCGCTCAATGCTCCTGTGGTTGCGGGTCCGGCTCTGAGGCCGTGCAGTGGATACTGGTTCGGTGGGTACCCTGCGCTGCTCAGGAGCTGACGGATTAGACGTGTGAGTCTTTGTGCAGCCAGGAAATTGCCACAGCTTTCGATGACCAGTGGTCTATTGGGCAGGTTGGCGCGTCTGGAGAGATAGGTGTGCATGGCTCTGACCGAGCAAACCGTTGAGTTGGTGGTTGTGAGCCGGACGGAGTGACCCTTGCCGAGTTGGTCGGTCTTGGACTTCTTGATTGTGACCTGTATGGCCTGCGGCGTGATGGAGAGGTCATTTGTTCGGAGGCCCCCGTCTGACATGGTTGTGGCGGTTGTGGAAGTGTATTCGCTTGCCCGGAGACAGGCGAAGAAGCCCGGGCAAATAGCTGCCCATGCCATGGCTCGGTCGGTAGCGTTGAGATTAGACCTAATCAGGGCGTTGCGCATAGCTGCCATGTGGGGCCGGAGGATTGGCTTGCTGGCGTTCTTAGTTCGGTTGGCCTGTGCACGTGCCACTCCTTTAACTGCGAGGTCCACTCTTCGCGAAGAGAGATCTTTGCCGTTTTCTTTGGCAATTGCCCGGATCGCCGACACATACAAGCGGACGGTTGACGCGGCATGTTGACGTGCCAGGTAGGCTACAAACGCCGTCATGATGGTGTCTGTCATCACCTTGGTGCCGACTAGTTTGCAGAGTTGGTGCAGTCGTTTCCAGGCTGTCGCGCATGTGGCGCTCAGGCACCACAACATCAACAGAGACTCGACCAGCCCGCTGTGCTGCTGTTGCTGCTGCTACTGTTGGGAGTGTTGGCTGTACACGTGGAGGTACCAATGGTTGCAGACCCATCGATGTGGTCAAGTGGCTGTGCGCGTTCAATATGTAAAGCCACACGGCGACGCTCACCGCCATACTTGCGCTCTAGCAACTTCTTAGCTGCGTCATAGGCTGATGGTGAGTAGCCAAATCGCTCGATGGCTGTCAGTGCTTCTCCTGCCAAATACTGCCTCAATTGCAACAGCTTGTACTGAGGGGTGGCGGGTGCACTATCTACACATGCCATGAAAGCTTCTCGGAATGACTCAAACGTACGTTTGTCACCGCTGAATATCGGTATGCCAACTCGTTGTAGCTGCTTCCATGGCTCTGCACGAGCCTGGTTTTGTTGCATTTGAGGTAGCCCTGTTGCATACATTTCAATTTGATTTCCAATATTGGATGGTGTTGCATAACCCTTGGCTGTTGCATGTACCTGGAAGACATCTGTGGTTGGTCGGTATGCCCATATACATTAGTACCTGTAGAAGCCATTGACATTGTGCTCATAGGCGGTGCCTGCCACTGGATACATGACTGGGGCGCTGCCATTGACACTGGAGGCTTTCTGAAAGAGTGTGGATTAGCCTGTGTACCAACACTGTACTTAGTATTCACTGCAGTATTCACACTATGCGTACTGGTTGAGTATACAGAATTGCTTGGAAGAACATTGCTACTGCCAGTACTGCCCAAGGGTAATGTAGGACCAGTAACCTTAGAACTACTACTAGATGTACTGCCTGAGGTAGTTGTGTTTGCAGTAGCAGGCCTAGCATGCACACTCACACCATCATTGACACTTACTGCGGTAGGTCTACATGTAGTGGCACTTGTCATGGTCACTTTTGGTTTTGCGGAACCATCTGTATACTGGCCAATGTTGGACTGGACAGCGCTGCGCTGGTGACCTCTGTAGTCTGGGATGGTACCACCAGTACCAGTAGCTGTTGAAATAATTGAATGCCCTGTTACCATGGTTACTGCTGTGCGGTCATCCGTGTCAAAACGTAGTTGTTGATCAGTTGCATTTGTTGCATCTCCGCTGGCGGACCTGTTCACGTCTCGTTGTTGTAGCGATCTGGCCAGCAATCCCGCTGTGACTCAAACCCAAGCATGGCAGTGGTCCTGCGGACGGTTCATTGCTGTAAACATGTCCTGGCCACCAGCCGCCGACTTCCCTGGCTTCATCGCGGCACTGTTGATGCGAATTACCGGTATACTGCTGCGTTTCAGCTGAGGCGACTGGCACGCGGTGAGTTGTTCTTACAATTTCAAACGCCAAGTCCGTCGCTTCGTCAAATTGCCTCTGGAGTACTTCCAGCTCACTAATCATCTTATCCTTCTCTCTCGCATTGCTCTCTGCTTCGTATAAACCAGCTAGATCTGTGATCGTCCCTTCCGCCTTCCGCTCTCTCATTATGATCTTTCGAGCTCGTTCATTTCTTTTTCGACATCGAAATAGCTCTCATCGGCCGTGCATCGCATCTGCACTCGCTGGGCTTTTACTATCAGCCCTCGTCTTGTCCTGCGTTTTCCTGGCTCGGAGCGCAGAAATTGCAAAACAGTTGGATGCACGCAGCAGCACAGCTAGCAAGAGAAAGAGCCGTGGATGGGTTTGTTCCTGTTTTTGATGGCTGTGGCCATCCGTTCGCCCAACGCTCGTGTGAGTACGGCGTTTGTTTGTGCTGCCAGCTCGCGTCCGGCGTTTGTTTGTGCTGCCAGCTCGGGCCCGGTGCGCGAGTGAAACCGAACCGTGACAAAGGCTTTCGCTCTTTAGTGCTATTGACTGGCTTTTCATACGATGCCTATTGATGTCTAGAGACATGCTGTCTAGCCTTCCCCTGGTACGCATTCACGGGGCTTTGTTGAAGTTCGTGCCGTGAACTGCCAAAGGGAATTGTTTGAATGGTGCTGGGGCGAGTGCGACATTACGGCGTCCCTGCAGCCGGCCTAATCGCGTTTGTTGCCACAACCGATTTTATTTTCTTTAAAAAAAGAGGAAAGCACTCATTTAGTGAAATTAAATACCTGAAGGTAATCGCTATGACCGGCAACTCGATCATTAACAATATAGGTAATCGATGTCCAATCTTTAGTGATCGTTTCACCCCTATAAGACTAAGATATCACAAGCTAATAGTGTTGCGGCGCATAATTGGTGACATTGGAATTGAAAAACAGTGGCATAGTGTTGACCAGATGGCACATAGGTTGTTTCAAGTCATGTGTGACATTGCGCCATATTGTTGGGTGTGTTTATGTTCATATGCTGTGCAGGAAGAGGTACTCTTTGCCTACGACCCGTCATCATATCCAGTTCTTGATGACATACCTGTGAAGCTGGAGCCATACAACAAACTGTTCACCATGGCGCTCAAGTGGCAGAAGACCCAAAAGAAGTGGATGGATGGTCCGTTTCTGGATGTGGAAGCAGAGGCTGTCGAAGCTGAGGTGAGAAGAATCATTTGAGGCGAACAACCACATAATGCCTTTTCACTGGCCGTTTGGCTGCTTCTCACAAAATGACGGAGTCGATGCTGCTGCTACTACCCTCATATTTATGTGCCGATTTAGGTTTGTTATCTGCAGTATGTTTTATTCATGCACCTGGTGATCAGTTTTACGCTTTGGCCATGCATGCCAGGGCACCCTCGTTCCTTTTAGTACCTGTATTCTGTTTTACGATTGCGTTTCTGTGTGTCTGTGTGTGTGTGTGTGTGTGTGTCTCTGTGTGTGTCTCTGTGTGTGTCTCTGTGTGTGTCTCTGTGTGTGTCTCTGTGTGTGTCTGTGTGTCTGTCTGTGTGTGTCTGTGTGTGTGTCTGTGTGTGTGTCTGTGTGTGTCTGTGTGTGTCTGTGTGTGTGTCTGTGTGTGTGTCTGTGTGTGTGTCTGTGTGTGTCTGTGTGTGTGTCTGTGTGTGTGTCTGTGTGTGTCTGTGTGTGTCTGTGTGTGTCTGTGTGTGTGTCTGTGTGTGTGTGTCTGTGTGTGTGTCTGTGTGTGTGTGTGTGTGTGTATGTGTGTGTGTCTGCTGCTCCGGTGCCCATTCACAGACGGAGGAGTTCTGGCGCGACACGTACAAGCTGTACAAGCAGTTCAATGCCCAGGCACAGAAGCAGGCCAACAAGGCCAAGGATCGCCTGCAGAAGAACAAGCGCGAGGAGCCCGCCAAAAAGGACGACCAGCAGACAGCTCCCGTTCGAGTTGCCGCCGCTGTTCAGGAGCAGATAAAGGCCTTCAAAGTGAGCTTGAGTTGGTGCATAGGTGTTCACAATTGTTTCCACGCATCACCTCATGGACTTCAACTTGTGCATGGATTAGTATAGTCTCCATTGTGAAACTCTAGTGGTGTCGGTCTAGTGAGTAATGCCAGTAATAAATATTCCTACTCTAAAACCACATGACGTAGAATCATCAGCCCATTGGAGGCAGGCATCCATTGCCTTGCACGCACATGCTTGCTACGCAGGGTATATCTTGCTACACCAGTTATCAATCACCATGGTGTGTCTTTTGCGCAACTGCTGTGTTATGTCAGGAAAATCTACCGACTTTGCAGATCATGTGCAATCCGGGAATCCGAACGCGCCACTGGGAGCGGGTAAGAGTCCGGTCAGCAGTGCATGCTTTAGGGTTAATTTATGGTAAGGAGTGCTGTCTGATGAAAACGGAATTCTCATTAAAAGAACAGGGTTCTAGAAGCACGGCAAGTTTCAGAAGTAATTTTGAGGTAACAACAGCACGGATTGGATTGATTGGATAAGAGTAACAACATAGAATTTGCGACGAACTTGACCATTTGACATTTTCGAAACACTCCACCATCCCACAATGTGCTCTTGGCCCACATTCATAGCACCATAGCAACACGATGTCCTCGCTATGGTGTTGTGAACGCGGGCCAAGAGCTCAGTGTGGAGTGGTGGAGTGTTACAACAGTTCATTCTGTAGTGCGAAGTTGCAATTGTACTTTGAACTTGTTGATGGCATCAACAAATTATATACTTCATGCACTGTTCCTGGATGAATGCTGAAATAGAATGTGCGTGCACACTGAGTTCAACTCTCAGGCTAAATTCTCCTCTGAGGTGATTCTCGCCAAAGCTCATTGGTTTGGGGAGTTTCATAGTAGCTCCTCCTGTCTTTGCCATAAGAGTTAATTAAAGAAGCCAATTGAAAAGCAAAAATCATGATTGCAAACACCGTAGATTCTCGAGCTGGAGAGTAATAAGGAGGTGTAAAGCGCATCATGAATATCTCGGAGACGTAGTTGGCTGCGTCTTTCTTTGGTGGCAGATGTCGGAAATCTCAAGCTTGGAGCTGACGCCAGATTCAGGCACGACCCTGAGAAAGATGCTGAAGAACGACCTTGCACCGTACCTGGAGCAGTTCCAGGAAGTCAGCACTGCGGCCAGCAAGGTACGGATTGTTAGGCGAGTGTGTACCGGTAGTCATTATCACTCAGGACATGCATGTTGTACCACCCACTGCACATTCCTGGAATCCATTACCTGGAGGTGTGCACATTTTGCTCTGTAGCATTAGGCCTTTGTTCTTCTTCGCATCATTGATGTCTGAGAGTAATGTACTTTGTGTATATTCACTGGTTTGAGGGAAAAAACATTGTGTATGCGTGACTGTGTGTGTGATAGTCTTATGACGGGTGCTGTATTGTTTGAGTGTTCACTACCGTTGTGTACGCATTTTTCAGCTTACTAGAATACTTGATGACGGCTATCTTGAATGGATTGCTGGTGTTTCCGTGCAGGAATTTTCTTTGGAAAAGGCCATGGCCAGGATGGTGGAGGACTGGGATCCGATTTCTTTCAACACTACACAGTACCGTGACACTGGTAAGCGTGCATGTGCATATACTGGCCTGACCGGCCTTGCGCTGGTGTGGAGTGTACGCATGACATCAGAAGATCCGATTGCACTCGACCAAGACCCTATGCAGAGCTGGATCAGGTGTTGCACACTCTGGGGGGGGGGGGTATTTACTCTTGCTGGTATGTTTGAGGATATGCATGCCGGCACGTACGTGTTTGTCCTCGATATCTTCTCCAGGCATCTCTGCTTATCATTTGTTCTCCTTCAGGCACCCTGCATATCATATGTTCAGTACTTTAGCAATGCACATGTTGTTACGTATTTTTGTTGCAAATCTGTCGTCACTCCTATCACACTGTATAATACGAGCATAGGAAATGCATCTACATGTGATTCAATTCCGAAAGTACTGCTAAGCCTTTGATATAGAGTTGTATCTAGTTGGTGTTTTGGTGGCTAGTAGAAATTTGTATATCCGAATATGTGCTACATTCGGATGGAGAGCCAAGGACAAATTTATAGAAAAGAAGAAGGACCAAGGAACTACAAGTTACGCTGTAATGTCCACTAACATCACCAGTTACTAAACAATCAGTTCATTTGATAACATACCGTCGGTCAGTGTCGTGCAATGTATCGCATGAACTGATTGTTTAGTAACTGGTGGTGTTAGTGGACATTATAGCGTAACTTGTAGTTCCTTGCTCCTTCTTCTTTTCTATAAATGTGCTACATTCCTTGGCTTAGCTTGTTCCAGTGGAACCCTGTGCATCTTCCATGATCACATTCGAGTGTTGTTATGTTTCTGTCTGTACATGTGCATGCTGCAGGCATTTCCATTCTCACATCGGTCGATGAAATCCAGACCAACCTTGACGATCAAATCGTCAAGACGCAGACCATGCGTGGTTCGCCGTTTATCAAGCCCTTCGAAGTAGAAATCAAGGTAATCTTTTGTATGTTTTGTGTGTCTGGTGCTTTCATCAGAATAGTCACTTTCGACTCCCACTTTTCCTATCTCTGCAATCAAAGTAGCATGAATGTATCGTAAGACAGACCACGGCGAATGCACATCATGCAGAATGATCTTGAGGGAATGAGAAGGGGAAGTCTGAAGAAACTGTCGCCTCCAGGACTTGAGAACCAGGGGCGTTCGCTTTAGACCAGCGGTGCCCTACCACTAAGCTATGGTGTATGTGTAGTCCTCACCCAAGTAGAGACTGTCCAACATTTTCGTCAGACTTCGGAAGTTGCGCTTCGTGCGAAACTACACAGGCGGTTGAGACGCAGCCCTCACTGTACCCTCACACTTCAAGGGCAAACTAGTATATGGGGAGCCCCAAATGCATCAAATATTCATCAGTTTGAAGAAATGAAAAGAGAAATAAAGTCTGAAGAAAGCAGAAGGCGTTCGTTTTGATGTACAGGTTTCAGGATAAACTACTGCTTTTGAAAATGATCTACCGAAATGGGTAGATCTGTGTTCGTGCACTTCCATCTACAGTTTTTTTTTCCCCAAATCGGTTCTACTCTACTTTACCAGGTAGCCACTAAAAAATGGCTACAAGCTCAACTCTTGGCTCAGTTCATCTAGTTTCTCCCATGCTGACTAGCCAGTGAGCTTTCTTGACAGCCACTTCCCCAGGCAGATTTACCCAAGAAGCAAAGAAAAGTGTATGTGCGTGTTGTCAGTAGCTGTCTGTTCGCAAGACCACCAAAAGAGTACATCCTATGCAGGAAGTATGCCCCGAGTACGTCGTACAAGGTACACTGCTGTACGCATTCTTATGCACGAAAATTCGTGCCATGAAATTTGTACGTAATCAGCATGTGTACGTCAAATTTGGTACTGAATGATTTTCACTGTACTGTATGTCGCTGTCGATCGCATTCTTTCTCTGTTTGCCTAGGCTTGGGAGGAGCGTTTGGTGAAAATGCAAGACATGCTAGATGAGTGGCTGAAGGTGAGCTGGTTACCGTTATTACATGCGTGCGGGTCTTGTGCTGGTCTTGTGCTGGTGAATATGCTATGATGTTAGCATTCCAACCTGGCTCTGTGTCGCTCAAACTGCGTTCCGGCGTTCGCATGTGCATGGGCGTATATGTGCATCCATCTTTCCATACTGGCATGTATTGGGCTGGTTGCCTATCTCACTCCTCCTCCCCGTCTTTGGCCTCTTCGTCTATGTTTTGGAGAGGAGGTGTGTGTGTGTGTGTGTGTGTGTGTGTGTGTGTGTGTGTGTGAGTGTGTGTGTGTGTGTGTGTGTGTGTGTGTGTGTGTGTGTGAGAGAGTGTGTGTGTGTGTGTGTGTGTGTGTGTGTGTGTGTGTGTGTGTGTGTGTGTGTGTGTGTGTGTGTGTGTGTGTGAGTGTGTGTGTGTGTGTCCTCTGTGGAAGACTTCCTACTGTTTATTATTTTTTAAATTCCAAATCTGTTTGCCTTGCATACCATTTTTTTCTTCTTTCGCCTAGATGCAAGCCCAGTGGCTGTATTTGGAGCCTATCTTCAGCAGTGAAGATATTATGCAGCAGATGCCCGAGGAGGGAAAGCTCTTCCAGCAGGTTGACAAGACCTGGAAAGAAGTCATGCGTCACACGTCCAAAGATCCAAGAGTGAGTTGATGCGTTTCATTCTCGCTCCACATGCATACCGACAAACCTGTGTTTACAGGACCTTGTACCAAGCGGAATCCCGTATTGACCGGACACACTTCCACGCACCACAGTGCTGTAGATCGAATGTGCATCCTTGGATCAAACGCAATCGTGTCATATCAGGACGGTTTCCGCTGCACCAAGGGCGTCCGGTTAGGGCAGGTTTTACAAACTTTTACTGCATGAACAGAAATGAAGGGTGGGAGGGCAGGGACACTTGTGAAACTCAGAAACTGACTGAGGAAGCCAGAAAAGCAACTTCTGGATACTAGTACTCTGCTGTCTCGGTAGAATTTCGAATTGACGCCATTTTTATGATGCAATGCTCCTTGCACGATTGATTTGCGATGTGTGTCAACGCATCCCGCGTGTTTCCTTGAACTAGTTTGTACAGAATCAAGTGGGGCTTTGTCCACCACATCATAGTGTTCATGATGCACCTGATCACATGTTTACAGTGCGCATTGCATCAAAATATGACGTCAACTTGAAATTGTGTCGGGACAGCACCCACAGTGGAGTTGCACACTGTTGGGGGTATGCACTCTTGTTGATAATGACTGCATGGGACATAGTGATACTGTTTATTCGAAACGTTGCTGGCATAAGTGTTATCTCGTGTCTCCAACACTGGTGACATGTTCTTCCTGCCAGGGCAGTGCTCTGTTGGCAGCCAGGATGAGCTGCATGACTTGCCACGAGTCTCTTTCGGATGGAGTCCATAGTTGTTGCTTCCTTGTTTCTTCAGGGGCACAGTGCATCACCAGGGTGGTGACCATTGTGTGCCATTGACCTTGCTTCCATTCTCCACTGGTGTCTTCATTATCAGCAAAGCAAGATGACAAGTGCGCTGCATTTTCGTGCATTAGCAGGTAGTTGTGGAGACACACTGTTGCCTGAATGATCAGCTCCACATTCTCAGTGTTTGCTCTTATGGTTCGTCTGAAGATGCACCACTTGGCAGCAAGAATTCCAAATGCATTCTCGATTGTTCTTCTGGCACTAGATAGTCTGTTGTTGAGCATAGCCTTGTCTTTGTACAGATCTCTGACTGCATATGGCTTCAGTAGCCAGGTGCGGAGTGGGAAAATCTCGTCCCCTAGGACAACATACAGCAGCTTGGTGCTGTTGATGTTAGCGGGCAGCGGGATACCAATGCTATTGTTCTGCAGACATGCTCCCATCTCCGATGCTGCGAAGATTGATCCATCGTTATCCCTGCCGTACGAGCCAACATCAACCATGGTAAACGCATAGTTGGCATCACACATTGCCATCAGAACCAGACTGTGGAAGCCTTTATAATTATAAAAATTGCTATCACCGAATTTGTGGCATTCCATGGCAACATGCTTCCCGTCAAGGGCGCCATTGCAATTGGGGAAGTCCCCACTGAGTAGAACTTTCCTGTAATGTCACTCCATTGTTGGGAGTTTGATGGCATTGGCAGATACCTTTCATGCAAGCATTCCCAAATGGCTTTGCATGGGTCCCTGACTGTGTAGCAGGCAGTGGATCACCTAAGAAAGAAATTAAATGATTGAGATTGCTGAGAATCCTCAATAGCCAGGTAACGAAGCGTCACAACCAACCGTAGGGTCGCAGGTGTAGGTTTCCGTGAACGACACCTGTTGGTCAGTCGATGTTCGAGTAGAGAGAGAGAGGAGGTGCCTAAATCTTCCTGAAGACATCCGCAGGTATCGGAAGAAGAACTCGGGATCTTCACGTTCAAGCTTCTTGAACAAAATCGAGACTTGTCCCTAATCCTCTCTCTTCTTCCACGCAGGTCAGGCCACAAAGCCAGATGGCAAGTGCGCTGCATTTTCGTGCATGAGCAGTTAGTTGTGGAGACACACTGTTGCTTGAATGATCAGCTCCACGTTCTCAGTGTTCGCTCTTATTGTTCGCCTGAAGGTGCACCACTTGGCATCAAGAATTCCAAATGCGTTCTCGATTGTTCTTCTGGCACGACACAGTCTGTAGTTGAACATAGCCTTGTCTTTGTGCAGATCTCTGACTGCATATGGCTTCAGTAGCCAGGTGCGGAGTGGGAAAATCTCGTCCCCTAGGACAACATACAGCAGCTTGGTGCTGTTGATGTTAGCGGGCAGCGGGATACCAATGCTATTGTTCTGCAGGCATGCTCCCATCTCCGATGCTGCGAAGATTGATCCATCGTTATCCCTGCCGTACGAGCCAACATCAACCATGGTAAACGCATAGTTGGCATCACACATTGCCATCAGAACCAGACTGTGGAAGCCTTTATAATTATAAAAATTGCTACCACTGAATTTGTGGCAATCCATGGCAACATGCTTCCCGTCAAGGGCGCCATTGCAATTGGGGAAGTCCCCACTGAGTAGAACTTTCCTGTAATGTCACTCCATTGTTGGGAGTTTGATGGCATTGGCAGATACCTTTCATGCAAGCATTCCCAAATGGCTTTGCATGGGTCCCTGACTGTGTAGCAGGCAGTGGATCACCTAAGAAATTGATTGTTCTTCTGGCACGAGACAGTCTGTAGTTGAACATAGCCTTGTCTTTGTACAGATCTCTGGCTGCATATGGCTTCAGTAGCCAGGTGCGGAGTGGGAAAATCTCGTCCCCTAGGACAACATACGGCAGCTTGGTGCTGTTGATGGTAGCAGGCGGCGGGATACCAACGCTATTGTTCTGTAGGCATGCTCCCATCTCCGACGCTGCGAAGATTGATGCATCGTTATCCCTGGCATACGAGAACATCAACCATGGTGAAAGCATAGTTGGCATCACACATTGCCATCAGAACCAGACTGTGGAAGCCTTTATCATTATAAAAATTAATTGCTACCACCAAATTTGTGGCATTCCATGGCAACATGCTTCCCGTCAAGTGCATCAATGCAATTGGGGAAGTCCCACCCAGAGTAGAGCTCTTCTGCAATGGCGCTCCGTTGTTGGGAGTTTGATGGCATCGGGAGGTACTCTTTCGTCGGAAGAAATACTTGGGAGCTTCACGTTCAAGCTTCTTGAACAAAATCGAGACTTGTCCCTGATCCTCTCTCTCTTCTTGCACGCAGGTCAGGTCTTGTACCCACGCAGGGGTCCTGTCCGCCTCAGTTGTTAGCCGGGTTGAAGGCGAAGCCAACGGGGACACAGATCGAGCAGACGAGAGTTTATTGCCGTAGCTATGCAGAAGACGTTACTTCAGTAACGTCTGGCGCTAGCCAGGGTCCACACAGCTTTAATTTGGTGCTTGTTTGTTTGTTTGTTTGTGTCACGCCTGGAGCTATCCCGTATCTGTCCCGTATCTGTCCCGTATCTGTCCCGTATCTGTGACTACAAAGGCTCTACAGGATTGTACATAACAGCTGTCCACAATATTTGCTGGCTCCCGTATCTGTCCCGTACCGTACCAATATTCGTCGTATTATGTATACGACTCCCTGATGTAGAGGGAGATTTGGAAAGAAATAGGGAGACGAGGAGGAAATGAAATTAGTATAGACGCCGAATAGGTGATAGGATGCGTCAGCAAAAACATACTTTGGAAGAGAGATCCCGTCGTCTCCAAAATAAGCGTGAACGGGCGATTCAGCGCCGGTCACAGGAAACGTCGGAAGAGAGATCCCGTCGACTCCAGAACGTCCGTGATCGGCAGAGTCAGCGCCGGTCACAGGAAACGTCAGGACAGACATCCCGTCGACTCCAGATCGCCCGTGATCGGCAGAGTCAGCGCCGGTCACAGGAAACGTCAGGACAGACATCCCGTCAACTCCAGAACGCCCTTGATCGGCAGAGTCAGCGCCGGTCACAGGAAACGTCAGGACAGACATCCCGTCGAGTCCAGATTGCCCGTGATCGGCGGAGTCAGCGCCGGTCACAGGAAACGTCAGGACAGACATCCCGTCGACTCCAGAACGCCCGTGATCGGCAGAGTCAGCGCCGGTCACAGGAAACGTCAGGACAGACATCCCGTCGAGTCCAGAACGCCCGTGATCGGCAAAGTCAGCGCCGGTCCCAGGAAACGTCGGTCGACACAAATGCAAGAAATGAGCATAGGAGGCTTAATCGTGCTGATTCGCGTCATGCTACTGCAGCTGCGCACATGGAAACTGTGCGGCCTATGGTAGAGGAAAAAAAATCATGCAATGGTGTCCTCTTTGACGCGTGAAGAGCGCCAGCAGTATATATATATACCTATATAGCCTCCTATACAATGATGTGGCCAATCAACGGAAAAAAAAACATTTCCATCAGTTCTAATAACATGTACGATGAGCTAGGCAAAAAAGCATAAAAGCATAGCGTAGGGCCCTAAGCTTCCAAGCTCTCTCGTTTGGGCCAGTGAAGATGCGGGGGGGGGGGGGGGGGGGGGACGGTCTCGTCACTCGTGAGGCTAAAAACTGACTGTGGATGCCGAAAAAAGAGCAGCGATAAAGGGAGAAATCAGATGCCATATTTGCATCAGGAAAAAAGGTTGCACGAGAAACATTTCTCGCCAGTCTGAGAAATATCGATTCAGCGACTGGAGCAAATCTGGGCAATCGAAGCTAGGCATTGCAAGGGTGGACATGCATATTTTGCTGTTTTTTTTATACTGGCATCTTGTGATGGCATGGCAGACTACAGTAATGTAGTCCAAGCCTCTCTTTGCCTCCATTGCCTTTATGGCTGAAATGTGTGTTAGCATACAATATACCTTTATGGCTGAAATGTGTGTCAGCATACAATATACTTGTACCTTTATGGCTGAAATGTGTGTCAGCATACAATATACCTTTATGGCTGAAATGTGTGTCAGCATACAATATACCTTTATGACTGAAATGTGTGTCAGCATACAATATACATGTATAAAGACACATCCAATACAGCCAATATTCGAATATTCAGACAAATTACCCCCTCCCCCCCCCCCCCTCACATGTACCCTTGGCTAAGAGTTAGACTGTGATCTATTTCTTTTGACTTGTGCTGGTGTAGGTGTTAGTGGCAACGAGCTACCCTGGTCTAGCCGAGAAGCTAGAGAAGAGTAATGGACTGCTGGACCGTATCCAGAAGGGACTGAACGCCTATTTGGAAAAGAAGCGCCTCTTCTTCCCGCGGTGAGTGTAATGTCATTTGAAGCTTCAGGAATGGTACCTTATTGAACTTTGAATGGGTCTGTGTTCAGGCTTGACTACGCATTGTTTTTGTTTTTCGTCGTGGCCAGTTTGTACGTCAGAATTGCTGTTCTCGTCTTGTTCATACACGCCTGCATGCATCAGTATTACAGTGGGTACGAATATGGAGGGATTGTGAGCGCAGTGCTGTCCATTGCTGACAGTAACCAGATGCACTGTGTGTTTGAATACCTTCCCTTGCTTCATGCCGTCTGCCCTTTGTCTCCCCAGTTTCTTCTTTCTGTCGAACGACGAGATGCTTGAGATTCTCTCGGAGACGAAGGATCCGATGCGTGTGCAGCCGCATCTCAAGAAATGCTTTGAGGGCATTGGCAAGCTGGAGTTCAAGGAGAACTTGGATATCTGCGCCATGTTCAGCAGCGAGGGGGAAAAGGTCAGTGCTGGACGGCAGTGGTCTGGTCATTCTGTGTTGCTGCATGCCAGGAGTGCAATGGTGGAAGAAATATTCCAAGACTGCTGTGGTTTGGCAAAGATTTTCTGGTGCCAATAGGTAACACTGTGAAGGCTGTCAGTGTTGGCGTAATCGGATTAATAAGTTTGACGAAACGCCGCGTTTATCTTTACCAAAGGATACATTATGTCCACTAGGGCCAGGCGTTATCACGTAGTATGGACGAGGGGAGTTTGTGTGTGAGCTGATTTCTACGAAACCATGCTTGCCTGTAGGACGTCGTAATACCGTGCATACATTTCTGCTCTTTTCAGAGATCGCAGTGTACTTTTGCGTTCGTTTTGTTTCCCGGCTCTGCCCAATACAGGTGCAACTAAGTGATCTGATTTCCACGTCCGCAGCTAAGGGTGCCGTGGAGAAGTGGCTGTTACAGGTACAGTTCGGTTGTACATGTATGTCCCGTGTCTCTGTGTGCTGTGCCTAGGCAATGCTTGGTAGAATACTGGAGGCATTGTGCTGGAAGTTTGATTTCATCCTCTGCAACAAAGCGAGTGTATGCCATCTTCTGGGCAACCTGTTCACAAATTGTTCTCATGTCCTTCCTGGGGAGGGGGATGGGGTATTTATACACGTTAAGTCTGACAGAGGTTAGGCAAATGAATTTGTCGTATATGTGTTGTATGGTGTGGTAACTACCGTATCTGGCAAACACTTTAACTTTGTGTGACGCCACTCCGTACAAAATATCTCAAATGTTACCCAAATCATTGCCAGAGTGCTCGGATATTCCCTTACGTTTTCATGCACACACGTGTGTGTGTGTATTTGATTGACTCTGTGTGCACGTGTACAGGTCCAGGACGTTATGTACAAGAGTGTGCGCGACGTAATAGTGCGCTCCAGAGACGTAAGTCTTCTCCCGACCGTGCTGGTGTGTGTATGTTTGTGTATGGTAGCTTGCAGGTGATGTGCAGTATTCAATGCAAAGATCCCAGTTGACAGTTAAACCCTTATTCTACCCGTAAATTTGTATGTACCTTTTTGCGTAGAATCTGACCTGACATTTCGGCATTAATGTGATATTATGATGAAACGTTGAACAATCCAGGTTAGGAGTCTGTCTACTTTGATTTTGTGTGTGTTGTGCATTGCCATGTCAGGCTTACCCAATCACAACACGGACGGACTGGGTGCGTGAGTGGCCCGGCCAGGTCATTCTCTGCGTCGGCTCGATCTACTGGACGCAAGAGGTGCACGAAGCAATCAAGGGTGGCCGCGACGGCCTTGCAGACTACTACAAGTTCCTCTCTAAGCAGGTACAGAACTTTAGGACTGAAAGCATGCAATGGTTGAGTAGTGTTCAGGCAATACACTGCGGGAGAAATACACAGCAGGGCGATACACAGATGCGATAACAGGCGCGTAGCCGGAAGGGTTTGGAAAGGGGCGCGGGAGCAATACACAGCGGGAGCAATACACAGCGGGAGCAATACACAGCGGGAGGAATACACAGCGGGAGCAGTACACAGCGGGAGCAGTACACAGCGGGAGCAGTACACAGCGGGAGCAGTACACAGCGGGAGCAGTACACAGCGGGAGCAGTACACAGCGGGAGCAGTACACAGCGGGAGCAGTACACAGCGGGAGCAGTATGCAGATACGATGACGTCGTAATGAAGCGAGTGCAGTCTTTAACAAGTAGGTGCGGGGTTCGTCACATTGGTAAATAAGACCAGGTGATGTGAAGCATGAATGTACCCTCCTTTCAAATCAACATTGGTGTTGTTACCAGTTTCCAACAATGCCATTGGTTTTCGTGCTCACAGAGACAGTGTTATGTTGTTTCACTCACTGTGTTTTTTCCCGGTTTGCTCCCTGCCTAGCTTGAGGATATTGTCGTTCTGGTGCGCGGCAAGCTTTCTAAGCAGAATCGTATCAGTCTCGGAGCTCTTGTGACGATCGATGTCCATGCTAGAGATGTGATTGGCGAACTGCGAGACAAAGGTACGCACTCAACTTAACCGGATACGCACTGCTACACGCACACGCACACGCACACACACACACACACACACACACACACACACACACACACACACACACACACACACACACATGTGTGTTTTGTTGTCAAAAGAAAAGAGCGTCTGGATATACTTGCACGCGTAGCGCTGCCCACAGAATCCCGTGCTGCTTTCAACTTAAAATTGCACCGTTCATGTTTACCAACTGCCTTCAGTAGAATGTATCACATGTTGATAGCCTATTCGTACTGGCCGCTTGTATTCTCACTCAGCACACCGTGTGCATAGCACACCGTGTGCATACCATCATTCTTATCTCTGCCACTGTGACTTGCTTCCATGCT